GGAAGAGAAGAAAAAAAAAGAGAGTAATTTTTTTTTTCCTTTAAATATCATAATTTAATATATAGTAACTTTCTTATTATAGCCACGGAGGAGTGAGCGTTTAAGGCTAAAATCGCGGTTTTTCAACAGTTTGCTCTCTGGTGCTCCGTACCTTCAACTGATGCACGATTATTCTGACAAAATAACCAGATTCTGTTCGTGGAAAGGCTAAAAAGATTTTGGGCACTTGATGGAGAAGCGGACGGTTAGGTAATACTATGCCTACGAGTACATGGCACTAATTTAGCACAAAGTTATTTCGTTTTCTGTTTTGCTCAAGGATATCCAGAAACAAGTGATGATAGATCTTGATGCTCATGGAAAACAAATTTGGGTGGTATCATTGATTAATTTCGCCTATCTCATAAATATGCTTTTCAAGTGTAAGCGTCACTTTGAAAACTCTCAATTTCATTGCTTCATATCGATTCATACAATGTATGCATGCTTGATTGGTGCTCGCGATTCCTGCTGCAGTGGACTGAGCCAATCTAGAACAGCCACGACACATATCTCCTGTAGAACTTGGCACCAGCGCTGGTTGGCTTCTCAAGCTTCTTGGCCGCCTGAGCCGCAAGGAAAGCCTCCTCCTCACGATCGATAATATCCTTGCCGGTATAGAAGTCGCACTCGTGGGGACGAACGCGCTTGCTCTTGGTAGAGAACTTGTGTCCAAAGATCAAGATGAGGTAGATGGGAATTCCGAGGTATCCAGTGATGAATGTGGGGTATTTGGTCTTGAAATCGCCGACGAAAACGTCAAAGTTCTTGGTCAAGGCAATCAGGATGCAGAGGAACAGGGCGACGTAAGAGCCCCAGATGCCCAGCGGGGCGTTGTAAGGCATGGCACTATTGGGGATGCCCTGAACCTTGCGGGCCCGGCGGAACGAGATGTGGGTGACGAGAATGGAGATCCAGGTCAGGAGACCAAAGATGGTCGTCAGGTTGACAAAGTAGGTAAAGACGGTCTTGGAGTCATCCGACACGTTCATGAAGGCCAAAAGACAGAAACAGGCCGAGAACCCAAGAGCGTACAGCGGAACACCGTCCTTGTTGGTGCGGCGGAAGATGGCGGGCGCATCACCATCAGAGGCCAGACCGTATAGCGTACGACTGGCAATGTACAAATCAGAGTTGCATGCTGAGAAGACGAAGAGCAGGATGCAGGCATTGAGGATGTGGTCCAGAGTTTTGATACCAGCCAGCTTGATAGCGACCACGAAGGGCGAGGCGGAAGCGTTGGAGGTGGAAGAGTTGGCAAAAACGAGCTCCTTGGAGTTGTAGGGCACACACATGCCAATCAGCAAGACCGAAAGAACGTAAAAGATGAGAATACGGAAGAAGGTCAGACGAATGGCGCGAGGGATCGTCTTGCGAGGGTTTTGGGCCTCTCCCACCGTCACTCCAACCAACTCGGTTCCCAGGAAGGCAAAGGTGGCCGTGACCATGGTGGACCAGAATCCAAGAAACTTGCCAGCACTTCCTTCTTTAATATAAGGCTTGAAAGCACTGTGAAATGTTAGGATGAAGAACAGCGCGGCGGGCAACCATGAGACTCACCCAGGTTCCTGCCAGTATCGGAAACCCTTGCGGTCGTGGTCGGGACCACCACCGAGAGCGAGCACCAGAGTCAGAATAATTACACCACAAATAGTGACGACCTTGAAACTGGAGAGCCAGAACTCGAATTCACCAAAGAACTTGATGCCAAAATAGTTGATAATAATGATGACAACCAAGATGATGGCGATCCATACACCGGGATTGACTCTTTCGCGGTCGACCCAATACTGCATCACCAGAGCAAAAGCAGTAAGCTGATTGGGCGTAACAATGATGTATTTGAACCAATAACTAGAGTTGCGGATGACTATCAGTAAATCTTGATTTCTCTATATGGATTTAGGTTCATGCGATGAAATCCATCTTGTTTCAGCGGTAAGGTTGGTACACCTGTCAGCCTCCACACGAGTCGCCTGTAGGTCCCTGATTATAGCGGCATTGGCCACTAAAACCTGGGGCAAACGCCTCCACCAACAGCCGGCGAACCACCATAATAGTGGACGCTGCAGCGACACGCATGGACCGACTTTAAAACGTTCACATGAGCAGAGAAGGAAAATTAGAAAAACTCACCAGTATCCCAATGCAAAACCCAGACTGGGATCGCAGAAACGAGTCGCATAACCAGTAAAACCAGCGCTCATGGGCAACCAAGCGGCCATTTCACCAAGAGCGGCCATGACGAGAAAGACGATGAAGCCGACGAGGGTGTAGCTGATGAAGACGGAACCGGGACCGGCCTGGGCGAGCGCCTTGCCGGTACCAATGATCAGACCGGTGCCAATGGCACCGCCAATGGCAATCATGGTAATGTGGCGAGCCTTGAGTCCACGGTGTAGCGCCGTCTCGGCTGAAGTCTCGAGACCGCGAATGTGGCCAGTCACATCGTCGCCGGCGCTGGAGTGGTACGCCGTCTTTTCGGCATCGTAGTGCGGCGGCACCTTGTCGGACGAGGACGAGCGCTGCATCTTGACGGTGTCGTGTGTTTTGCTGTTTGCGTGTGGGGATAAAAAAAACAAAAAGGGTCGAGCTTGTGCCCAACGACTCTTCTGTATTTAAATGAGATACAGAAAAGAAGATTACAGAGTCGCAAAACTCTGGCAAAGCTTGCGCCGGTAGTTGCAGCAAGGACCGATGAGCTTAAGGGCTGCTGTGCTGGTATGTAATGTTGAGTGTGTGAGACAAGTTCACAGCTGAGGCGCCCTTTTCAACTTGGAGCTGAACTGAACCGAATCTCTTGACTGATTCCGCCCTTTGATTGAAGCTTTCAGAAGCACCAAGACCTGAGCTGGTGATCTTCTTCTGCTGCTTTATCCTGGAACGTTGCAAACGGCCCGGCAGTCACACTTGGGAAAGCGCAAAGGGAAGAAACAAAACAACGAGTCCAAGCCGTTTGTTTCCTCTCGAGGCCTCGGTTGAAGTGCGAACCAGGTCCGTCTTATGAAGAGCTCAAAAATTCGGGGACCCTCGCCCGTTTTGGATCAAAGAACCATTTGCGCAAATCAATCAGTCAACCAAACCATTCATCCCATCCCAACCCATGGCCGTGGGAAACTAGCATGCGTCGCCAAGAGCCTCCATCGTTTCCCCAAGCCGCCTGACTGAGCTGCTGTTGTAACTGTTGTGCTGCGCTTGATAGAACATGGGGGAAAGCCGCTTGTACCTCCAGACTCCAGCATGGAGACCATGCGTGGGCAAGGTATGTGGTACTCCGCAATTGTTGCCCTTGCAGTCTTATCTCTCAACTCCATTTGTCACTCCAATTTGCTCAGTATCACTTATTAAGCTCTGTATGGCGGCCTAGGCGTTCTCCTCTCTCTCTTTGGATTATTTGCTCTACGTATTGTAGTACGCTGCCAAGAGTCCATATCGCCGAGAGCCCTACCTATCTAATCGCGTGACCAATTGCGCGGGAGTAACAAAACGGTTTTTTCCCCCTTGGCCTTGACTTGATAAAGAGTCAATCCAAATCGTGGCGGAGGAAAAATGGCTTGAACCAATCGCGCTCGACTCGCGTGCCCTTGCAAATACCAAGCCTCTAAGGTTTTTGTAGTGTGTGTATCACGTACATAGTACATATTTGCACTCCAAACCCGATTGCACTTCCACCATTCCTGCTATCCGTGTCCCGGTTTCCGTGTGGTGGAGTGTAAGCTTTGAGATGTCGGCTTGTACTTGCTTTTTGTGTCCTACGGTCATTTGGCTTTCATCATCTATCTTCTTGGCATGGCGTGCAAAAAAAGAAGCCTTGCGTATGTATAGATAACTGCAACATGAGCTTGCTGCCACTTTTCACTCATGGTGCATCGATCAATAAATCAATCACTCTTCTAAATACGCACGTACGGGGCTGTAGGCGGTACGTATGCGGAATGCCCCGCGAGCTGCGGCGGAACCTTGCTATGCGGCCACATCCGAGCTGCATCCAATCCACTGCTATTGCGCCCGAGTAAAGTGTATGTAACGGTTGGACAAACGTATGATCAAACACATACTCGAGTCTCGACGCCAGGCCAAAAGTTCCGCAACTCGTGCACAGTACTGCCGCTCTCCCATTTGCAGCTTCTCCATCCAGCAAGGGTCCCTCTACCAGGGGAGGCCTAGAAAACGCCACAGAATCGCCCGTTAGAACCGTACTGGCTAGCTGTTCCGTTCCGCCAAGATGCCAAGGCAGAACCAGTGGAGGTTCATCCGGCTGACCCCCTTGTTCCGACTCACCAATATCGATTTGCACAGCCAATGACCGTCGGTCTGCATATCTGGACAAGCCGCTTGATGCCATACCTTGTTCGCTTGCGCAATCCTTCTGGAAATGCGTCCATGCTAGTCTGGTCTGTTGGACGTTCAAAAGTCGTGATTTGCGGATTTGCGCGATCCAGAGCAACGAATATGGAGCGCCGTTGAAGGAAATTTTCTTGACTAATTTCGATAGTCTTGGACCATATCCAGCATCATTGACTATATCTTGTGTGTCGTATGAATATCATCTTTGTATAATGTAAATGTCATGCGACTGAGACTACAAGTCCTACATGGGCATATTGCCAAACCAACATCTCGAATTGACTTTCCATCCCCGTGAACGCCGTCCAGCCACATCATGCAATAAAAGGACTCGAGCTTTTTGAGTGCCGGTCTATCTAGAATGCTACTGCCAAATTATCATCAAAAGCACCTGATTTCGTAGTTGCTTCATTCACGTCCGGTCCTCAATGGAAAAGCACCGGTGTGCTGGTGGTCTCGGGAGGCTGATATGCCTCGCTCTCAAACTGTGGGGCAAAACATGTCAGCTCAGGCTCACCAGCTGACAAGGCGGAAAAGACTTTTGCACAAACACACGTACCTCTAGGAATCCAGTGGCCATAATGATCACCATTAGTGCCTCGGCCAGATCTTGAATCTTATCGTCCAGCACTGCCTCCATCTTTCCAGTGCCATTACCGATTCCTGCTGATCGTTTGAGCACGTGCATAACCAGCATTCTATGCTCAGTCAGGAATCGTCTACCCTGCCCGACGTTGTGAGACCCGCGGCTGACGATAGCGGCTCCGATTATGCGCGATACCTTGACGAGCAGGGCGTAATGCTTCTCGAGTGCCTTGTAGTCAGATGGGTCGACTTGCAGCTCTGGGTCCGCCGCAAACAAGCCCGATGCTTCTATGGAGCGGAACAAGTTGGCATGCAGGACATTCTTGGCGCCCTCGCGTGTCTGGCATAATTGCAACAGGAGCGCAAGCTTGGCGTTTTGGTAGTTTAACTGATCAGAGTTTCCTGCAAGTATTTGATTAGATCTGGACACCGAGAGGCAGTTTTGTTTCTTGATTCTTACCACTTCCATTCACCTGCATCCAGTCATCCATGAGGTGGCGCAATGAGTCGACGAGAACGCCAATAAAGTTGAGCCGATTGAGCATATCGACGACATAATTGTCGCTTTCGTTTCTTCCCAGGTTGACTAGTGTACCCAGCAAGATCAGAGCTGCGGTCTGGCAAGCAGCGTCACCGCCGGAAGCGTCGTCGCATAGAACGTTCATGAGCCTTTCGCCGAATACTTGAATTGTCTTGGCCGTCTTCTGGCGGCCTGACAATAAGCCCGATCCGTGGTCAACAAGAGCGGTAATGTAACGGTAGCATATGCTGTAGTAAAGCGTCCGTAGCTCAGCAGTGCCAGACCATTTGGCGACAGCGTTGAGAGAAATCTGGAAGAGCTGGAAAAGCTTGTCGCTCACTAGGCTGCCAATAGCCCGGCTCTGCTTGTCGCCGCCAGACATCAAACTAAAGTCCAGGTTGAAGATAAGAACCTTGGCTAACCGAACGAGTTCAAAGGCCGCAGTGGGATTTTCCAATCCATACATTTCGAGGCTTGGGAGGATAGCTTGCAGGACTTGCAAGATGAATGACACCCTGTTGGTGCCCTTGAAATCATTGGTTTCGGTCATAATCATCAATAGCTTTGTCCATGCGTTTAGGACTTTGTGATTGCGGGTATTGACCTGTTTGAAACGATTCAGATACGCAGCATATAGCTGTATTTGCTCTTCTTCCACTTCAATAGGAGCCAAGTCTTGCTGCGATACGATTTGGCCTGGCAATTGGGTGGCGTTTCTCTTCAGATGTATGATCTCCTTGACCCTGTTCAAGTTGTACAAGGCATCCCCATCTACGTCGGCCTCTAGACAGACTCGGATATCAAGATCTCTGTATGTCTTGAGCTCAGGGGGGTCGGTGACAAATTGTGTTTCTTGCGGCAGGAAATCGTGGAATTCGAATATGGAGGCAACTGGGATAGCTTCGCCACCGTCCACGGGAATCTGGCCACTAAGAGCGTCGAAAACTCGCCTCTTGAGTGCAGGCAATTGACTTTGCGACACGCTACACACCTCGTGGGTTATGTATTCCAAAGCCATTGCCCGAATTGAGAGGTAGTCTACGTAGCCATGCGAAGCGGGAGCAATGAGGAAATCTGGTCCTGCCGGCTCCAATCCATCCCACAATGAGCTTGGCTGTACAACTAGCCCTTGCAGCAAAAGGTGAAACAAGAAATCATTCTCCCTCAACTGGTCGAGGACGAGCTGAGACGACAAGCGGGAGGACCATAGCGCCTGGAATATGCGCATAGCCTTGTACTTGAGATCAATGAGCCACGTCCGGACGCATCCCTGCTCGTCCGTGATGGGAAGTTCGACAGGTATTCCGAGAATTGAATGAAACAAGGAGGTGCCCTGGGTAAAGGGACTGCCGGGAGCAATGTCGATTGTGGTTGCATTGCAGTGAAAGCCCAGTAGTAGGTGAGCTACCGTCGGCCGATCAGGATTCGCCCGAATGCAAGAATACAAAAAGTCTAATATGTAGACTTTTGTTTGGTAGCTCGCCGAATCTGCCTGTCTAAACATGTCTAGAGGTGCTCCCATCTCGGAAATAAATGACCCCGCGATAGACTCGGCGAACCCATTGTCCTCCAAAGCCACGATCGCCTTGTTGCGGCGAGATGGCCTTTCCGACCCGTGCTGCCATGCAGAGATGATTATGGACGAGGTAGAGATCTTTTGCAGCAACTTCAAACTTGCAAGTGTGAGATCAGTATGTCCGATGCCGCAGTAACTGCCGAGGTCGGAGATGATGTTCAAACTCGTCATGAGGCCATCCTCGATGCTTCCAAATGCGAAATTTGATAGTGGCGTAAACATGGATCGGCCGCCGGCTCGTGATTGTGATTTCACCAAAGGCCGAACAAGATTCAAGTATGTCGGTTGCAGTTCCAGGGCCTTGGTGATGAGTTCCACTGCCCGAAGAATGCTAAGAAGCAGTGGTGAGTCCGGTGCTGCACTGCCAACGTCGGATGGTTCTTGGTGAATGGTGCTGAGGAGTGTCTTCATAAAAGTTGCATCATACATCCAATCCATGACTCGTGCGAATGGATGAAGTGTCACGTAGGTTGCTAGATCTTTTGGTGCAATGGCAGAGTCGACAGGGATCGTCGTCTCGTTTGCAAATATGATCAGATCCTCGTTGAAGATTGTGAGGCAGGTGAGTGCGAATTCTAGGCACTGGTACCGTAGGATGCGCTGTTGGGGGACATCTGAAGAGTCCTGCGACCTAATGCCAAATACGTGACCCAACGCAAAATCAATAAACGGCTCAATACCAGGACGGACTCTGGTGGCAGCGCCCAGGCTTTCCGAAAATGGTAGCGTGTCCCTCAATTCATATCCTTCAGGAAGGGACGACAAGGCCGAGAGCAGCTGGATGAAGGAGCCTACTTCCTCAAAGCGCGGGCTCATTTCTTCAAAAAGAGACTCCATGATCAGAGCTGGAGACTGAGGAATTGCGGTGGCCTTGCTAGTGCTAGGCGGAATAAAGGCCCCGCTAAGACAAGCATCAAGCTCACTCCAAATGGCAAAGCTCTGCTCCAGAGTTTTCCGTGAGAGCAGGGCGCTGACTGCGTTGAATGCACATGCTCTCAGGCGTCCAGGGACATGGCTACTAACCAGGGTGAAGACAAGGTCGAGTAGGTTGGGATTCTGGTGGTCAAGGAGGAACAGACGTGCCGCCTCACTGTTTGAAGCGACTTTGGCAATGAGCCGAAGGTAACACTCGAGCATCATTGCTGATTCCAATTCCGCCTCAACGGGCTCATGATTGAATCTCCCGGCCTTGAAACCTTGAGGTTGCGGTGGTGCATTTTGTTTCTCGCGAATCTTTTTAGTGAAGAAATCCAGTTCTTTAAAGATTTGGGGCCAAGTAAGTGACAGGTTCTTCCGCATCTTTCCAGACGCATGAAATCCGTCATCCAACAAGAATTCGTGCGCCGAGGTGGCCGATTCAGCGTCCTCGGAGAGGGATTGCAGCATTTCACAGAAAGCACTGACAAGTGGCGTAGAGGCGCGTCTGGATGCCCATTGAAGAAATCCCGCTAGATGGCTGTCGGGGTCGCCCCAGAATGCATCCGCTGCTTCTGGGCGGCCTTCATATGAAAAGGCAATGATCATTAAGAATCTCTCCAAGTCAACATCCTGCTCCTGCGCATGGTTCATTTGGCGCTGTTCATCTTCTTCCACTCGCAATTTTCGGAGAATGTCGGGCAGATTGGAAATGAAAGCATCGACAAACATCTCAACCTGGCTCGCAAGTGCCTTTTGGAAAAAATCCGAGAATGAATACGTGTCAGCAGGTAGAGGTGGTGTTTTACGTTGGAGCCACTGGCGAATGGCTATACGGGCCGGGTCTTGCCAGTCTGAAGACTGTACGTCTGCAACGACGGCCATCAGCAGATCAAAGGCACCGTCTTTGAGAGCTTCAGTGAAGATCCTCGCCCTCTGGGCATCCTCTGCGTCGATATCGATGCCTTGGAGCTGAGATCCAGCTGCATCATCGACATACCAGCCGCTGTATTCAGCCAGCCACCAAGACTTGACGGCAGCACGAAAGTAAGGAATAGAACGGGGATCGTCATCGGACTGCTTGCACACAGTTTCATTGAGCTTTCGAGCTTGGGTCAAGTCGCCGTTGCCCTCGGTCGAACCAAACATTGTGATAAAAGATCCCAGAGCCGGGAACAAGTGAATGGTAAACGAATCATACCGGTCAATGTTCTTGAGGAGGCCGAAAAAGTCGATGAAATCTTGGGCCGTGGCGACACGCTTTTCGACTGCATACGACAAAATGACGGCCACAAGTTCGTGTTGCTGGACGAGGCTGATGCGGGAGAACTCGATTGTTTCTCGAAATTCGGCCAACGTCGCCTGGCCGAGAACGTTTGCTTTTGCAACCTGATCCGTGATACGCTGTTGCCAAGCACGAATGTCACGCATGGCGGCCATGCATCGGGGTATGAGTTTACTGGCCTTTGCAGAAGGCACACTGCCCAAGATGAGTTCGGCAACGTATGCTCCTAACCAGTCCTCGACCTCTTCCGGGACCTCATCGATCTTGGACAACTCAAGAAGGAGACGCACACAGTCGAGCAGGTATTTTCTCTGCTGATGGAAGCGGATCAAGGCACACTCTCGCCGCGGTCGGCCGAGCAAGCGCTCGTCGTCTTCCGTCTCTAGTATCAGTCGCGATGCTTCCAACTCGTCAAGATCGATCTCATCGGCGACTTGCAGGGCGAGCTCCTGGAACTCTTTCGTGATCTGGTACTCCTCGCCATCGATTTGTATTGTTCCTGCGTTGACATTGCTTTGTCAGTTTGGGCGCCGTCAAAACACGGTTTTCTTGCAACATACCCGAGATGACAGCATCGCGGCTGGTCTTGCTTCTTGCGCGCTTGTCCAGGAAAGCTGCGATTCTGTCTCCGAGAAGATCAAGCGACGGTCCTATGACCTGGGGCAAGTCCAGGCGCTGATCTTTCGGCCGGTCGACGACGGAGAGCAGGAGTCCGTGAAGCGACTGCAGGGCCTCGAGAACGCCAGAACCATCTTCAGCCATTTTGTTCGATCAATCCTATCGCATCGTCGCGTGCCCAAGGTGCACTGTAGTGACGCAATCGTCGAGGGGTGCGCTGCGAACCAGCCGAGCACCCTTTTGATCTCAAACAAGACGCAGGTTGGTGGGATGGCCGACCAGTCCACTACTTTTCGTAGGTTTGCTGTACGCTGTCTTTGGAACGTTTAGAGAGATCGCGAGCCCGGCAGTGTTGCTGCAAGAGCACCGTTCGTCAGTTATGCCTGTCGGAAACTTCAGAGATGTGCGCCCGTGATATTTTTTCCTTGGGATCTCAGGCGGTTCAAGTTTCGATGCCACGATTGGCTGCAGGGGAGCTCTGCTAAGCTCAGGAAGCTGCAAGCAAAGACGGGGCGTCAATGGAGGCACTGACTTTTAAGTGGAGAACAAAACGGGCGCGCGAGCCTTGGGTGCTTGTCAACAATATGCCGATTCCAGCAGGCGGTGAAACAGCTAATGATCGCCTGAAAGAATTGAGAATCCGCAGCTGAGGTCAACTCTGACTGGACAGTGGAGCCTCAGCGCGCGGCAACTTGGACGTTGAATTTAAGGCAGGCGCTAATAATGACTCCCTACCTTACTTCGTCCAGCACTTTAGACTGTAGTATCACTGTGGAAGGTGCGTATCCAGTAGACTCAACTCACTACATTCATGTTAATTTGATTCATTTCACTCACCGAGACTTGGAATCTCTTCGCATGTCAAGTTATTGTTTTTTCCCTTTCATGTCCTTGACCTGGGAACCATTCACTATCCTCAGTGTCTGCCGTGTTTCTTCCAGGTCTCCTAGCTTGTGGATGTCGCATTTCTACGGACGGTTTAGGTATTCATGAGCGTCAACGCGTCACGCCAGAAGACCAGCAGATAACTCGAGATCTCCAACCTTGAACAGCACATTCGAATAAGGCTTTTTTTTTTTTTCTGGCCCATAAGGCAACATGTCTATTGCTGCCATTGATGTTGAGGTCAACCGGTTTGCATTTTTGACGGCACGCAGATTAATTGTGCCATTCTTTCCGCATTTTGAAGTAGAGTTGAAGCAGCCATCACCCTTCTCATTGTACGCTGCCCATCATGCCAGCCCCCAAGGCGGCAACGCGGAAACCTCGAGTGGACAATTTGCTAGATGCCATTAGTAATTCAGCCGCCCTCATCCATTCATCTTGTCCATGTGCTAATGTGCGATTAAAGAGTCGATTGAGGACGCTGGTGCTGGAGATCGGCTGCATGCTTTGGACAGTAGGTTCTGGTCTCTCTCATTCCTACTAGCGGTGTCTGACATTCCATAGACCTCATATTCTTATTCGACAAGCGCACCAGACAAGTGGAGGCGTAAGAAACAGATCACCCATTTGGTAGAAGGAAACTAATGTGAGTTTGCAGAATCAAGGACAAGGAATACCACCGAACTTTAGAAGCACTGTTTCGCTGCATCAACACAGAGAAGACCGCCTATTTCAAGGCCAAACGAGGAAGATCTTCAGCATCCACGTCGGCTGCGAGACTGACAAAGTGTGCCGAGGCGATACGTATTGTGCTAGATCATGGCTCTACCAAGCTAAAGCGCAATACTTTGGCGGCAGTCGTCGATCATATTACTCAAACGCTACCCGATTCCGAGGAAGGCTACTTACAGCCTCTACTGCTCGAGTATGTTAGGGCTCTCCTGGCAATGTTATCGTATCCCTCAGTTGTAGAGTCGTTGGCAACCTACAGTGGCGTGACATGGCTGGATTGCATCGATTTCATTCTCGAGGTCATTGACTGGCACTTGGAATCGCATGCTGGAACTGCTACCCCATCCCGAGATTCTCCGGCCCCTGGAACACCGCAAGCATTATCGCACCCAGGCTCAACGCTCAGGTCGACAGCAACATCATCGAGTCAGCGTGGTGGGCATGGTTTGCATCAAACCGTCCTGCACGATCTTCTCGAATGCTTGTGCCTACTGATATCAGCTCCTAATGCACCCGTCTTGAAGCGCTCGGCAAAGATCAAAACGTCCGCCCTGCAATGCATTCGACTTCGTTTTCTTGGAGTATCTTCAGTCTTACAGCTCGGCTTTTTCATCCTGAATGTCATTGTCCAAGTAACACAGACCGAAGACACGACACAAACCAACCAGCTCGTCGCCGAGATTCTACCTTTAATTCGGCAGTGGTGGCAAGCAAAGACAACATCACAGGAGAATGCACTACTGAACAGCATTCAGGTCGAAGCATTAAAACTGCTGTTCAATGTTCATATCAATGTAGCTCACCTCGTGCAGTCCGGTGACTCTGGTATCGTTATGGAGCTGGAGGAGCTTTGTGACATGCTCTGGAATCAATATTCCCAGAGAGAGGGGCGTAGCCAGCTCCAACAGGATGACTTGACCTTTTCAAATGTGCCTCAACACCCTCACGCCTTTCAAGTGGGCACGTTTGCACTTCGTCTCTATAATGTCGAGGCCGAGAGAAAATGGGCAGTCATCCACATCTTGGCCATTTTCGAAGCCATACTTTGGAAGCAGTCGCGATCCCACCATGGCGTCGTTGAGGAGAACGATGAACACCCGCGAAAGAGACGAAGGATAGCTCAAGACTCCAACAGATTGCACCAGAAGCTGAAAATGCCTCGAGATAATATGCGCATGATGGCCCTCCAGCTTATACCCTTTTTTGTGTCACACGTTCGTTTATCCGTCAGCGACGTGGAAGAAAATCTGTCAATTATGGCCAGTCTCGTCGGTCACAAGAACGCGAAATTGTCAACATGGGCGACAATTGCCAGTGCTAGGTACCCAAGATTCTTGCATCAAATATCGATTCAAGCAAACTAATCTGTCCGTCTTTAGTCTCGCGTCGGCCGAAATTGCTACGCACAAGGATCTGTTGCCAATTTGGAAACAGCTATGGTACATGGCAGCACGGAATCTGAGCATTTCAGCCACTTGCCGTGCTTCAAGCGTTTTGCTATCTGCCATTGTTTCGAATGACCTACTCTCTTATCATGAGATCTCAGATGACATCAACAATATCATCACGGCCGCTGATGTCAGCGGCCCATCAGTTGTAGTGGATTCTTCAGTCATCCTGATGACGAAATTACTACAAATCAGAAACTATAGGCTTCCAAGTGCCAGCCACGCCACCTGCAATCACGTCATTCGCTGGTTGTTCCTGAGATGGGATCCAGGTAAGAGCTCGCCTATGCTGCTGTCTTGAATGCAAACGCTGACTGCTGCAGCTGATCCCATTTTCGTCTCGGTTTACTCAATTCATGTCGCCCCCCTAGACATTATCAATCTTTTCCGAGCCGCGTCGGGATTGCCTAGCCTCGTCTTGAAGGGTCATCCCCAACTCATCAGTGGACCGCTCGTCGAGAATTGGAGCATGCTACAGGACCGGCTCGAAATTGTACGATATCTTCTCCTGGTCAATGACGACGAGCCACGAGCGATGGTTGTCAAGCCCACCAAAGCCTCGCCAAACCAATATTCTCTCCAGAATGCAGAGAGTGCCGACTCTCATGCCGTACGAAAGCTGATAGCAGAGCTGATGCACCCTAAAGCCGATGAATTGCAGGCATTGTGCGAAAGCTGGAGTAAGAAGGGCGAAGGATCGTCTCAGATAACAATTGATAAGTTCCGGAGTCTACTCAATTGTCTGGTTGTGATAGCATTCACACTGGTTTATACAACAGAACTCAACACCAGACATTCTCAGGATTTGGAAGTCGTTTCCACACAGCTGCTTCGACATGCGTTCGAGGTTGCTTGGCTCTCGTCAGAAAATCAAGTATTCTCCGAAACCACCTTGAAGACAGTCCGCCCATACCTTCCTTGCTGCTCTACCAGTGCCCTAAGCGACATCCACCAGGCTCATCCCCAGGTTCTGGCCTTCTTTTCGGAGCTTTCATCGCAATTTGACGAAAGAATGTCCCAGCACTCGTCCTCTTATGCAGAAGACACAATGGATCTGGACGAGGATTTCGGAACGCAGGAAAGCCATTCGAGCACAACTTCACGGACAATTGATATCTGCCGCCGAGACACGGCCTTGCTTGACGCTGGCGCATTCATTCATGATACGACGCAGAGACTACGGTTTTTGCACGCTATACAACTCGATCCAGGTCAGATAGGCCTCGTTCCATCTGCATATATTAGAGATCTCCTCGCTCTGGCGGACGAAGAGCTCGTCTCCTGCCGCCTATTGAACAAGGAATTGTTTAGTGGGGACCTAGTTGTTGGTCAAGAGGATGCAATGCGCGTGACACACCGCTTCGGTGACTTGATCGACTCGAAGAATTTCTGCAGCTGCGAGGTTGCTATGCATGCCTTTATTGACACCATTGAAGGCTTTATGCCAATTTGGATTGATGAAAGGAGTGAATTGAGTTCTGAAGCCGAACAACTGTACGAGTTTCTTATTGAAAAGGCACTCACGAACAATCTACTTTCGCCAAAAACTCAAATCGCCCTTACACGACTTCTTTTCCGTCTCACAGAAATTGACGAAAAGTTCCCTGAGCGATTCAATCTGCCAACAACGATCAGCTCAATCTTCAGCATGCTGCAGAATAGTAGCATTTCCATCAAGTTCTATATCGGAAACAATCTCTTCCGAATATTCAACCGATTTGTGCTAAAGACGCATGATCAGTACTGCATTGATGTCGTCAATAGCCTTCCGCTTGACCCAGAGGTGCCTGAAGGCATATCATTGCGCCTCTATGTGCTAAGTCAACTTGCAAAGAACTGGCCGACCCTTCTGCGCCGATGCGTTTACCATATTTTCGAAACCCCGGGAAATCTCCTCGATTCTACCAGACATGCGACATATTGCCTCGAAGATGTCGCATTGAGTCTCAGGCTCGAAAACGCACAAGGTCTCTTTGATCTATTTGCGCCTCAGCTCTTATATACGTGGTTGAATACTGACCCTATTGAGAGCATCCCTTTTGGAATTTTCGGATTCCAAACCCTTGAGGATCTGCTTCTCCGGGCACAGCCCGAAGCTGCCGCGATATTGATGATGCGCGGCCAAGATGAGGATTTTGCGAATCTCGCCCAATTACTTGGGAAAACGCCAGCAGAGCTTGCCAAGAAGTGTTTCTCAAAGATCTTGGCATATAGCATGGCGTATGATATCAGTATGCCAAAGTCCGATCAACATACGAATGGCGAGAGTCGCATTCGAAAGTTGTTGGGCCGCGAAATCTTCCTCGACTATGTGTATACTGAATTCGCCGATGTCATTGGCACATTTTTTGGTCTGATTGATCAAGAAGACCCCATCGAGAAGTCATGGGCCAAGGACGACAGTTGTGTATATGCCGCCAAGATCATGGATGAAATCAAGACACTGAGTCATTCAGATGTCGAACTGTCGGGAAATCAACAGCCATGCTTTCGCGCCAAATACTTGACGCGCGAAATTGCCATCTTGTGCAGCCGGACGGAGCACGAGATGAAGCATCTGTTCACCCCGGCACTTGTAGTGTCGGTAGCGAGGCGGCTGTTTAATACAAGACACTCGGCACTAGGATCTCTGCATGCGTGCTCGGTGATACGCAAGGTCCGAGTCCTGATATGCTTGGCTGGTCAGTGTGCATACGAATCATACTCACTTGAGATGCTGCTACACTCGGTCCAGCCATATTTGACTGATCTTGAGAGTGCGGATGACGCCCTTGGCATCAGTCAGTATTTACTAATGCGAGGGCTTCCGACATTGAGTAGAAACCCTTCATTTGTAGCTGGCTACGCCTTGTCCACACTTGCTTCCCTTCGCGTTTTCCTCGAGTCAAGCCAGGCAAGCACTACTCAGGAAAGTCAATTCAAGGCGACCATGAGCAAAGCGCAAAAGTTTCACAAGTGGCTCAGTCAGTATCTCGAGGATTACCAATCTCCATCTCTGCGAGACGAACAGCACCTTTCATCATTCAAGTCCATCACACAGTCTGCTGCTAGTGTTCGGTCTTCAGGCAATGCGGAGCGGGGGACGCATGAGAGCACATTGCTCCTAGAGATTCTCCAAGATGAGACCCGCCAAGCCCCGCTACTTAGTGAATCGTCACGCCAATCTGCTCTTCGAATCTTAGCAAAAGATTTCCGACTGCCTGTTTTGTCTCGCCAAGATGCCATTTACTCGGACATCGAAGCTACCAAATTCGCTACGGCTATCTGGAAGACATTGCATGCCCAACCCACAGACAATGATTATCGAAACTATCGTGTTTGGGCCGGTCGTGTTATCGGCAAAAGTTTTGCTACCTCGGGCCATGTTGATGAGACACTTCTTCGAGAATCGAAATTGGCAAAACACCTTCAATACGCTCCGAGCAGTACAACCTCTGAAAAGGGATTGCTGTCTTTACTGCAGTCCTTGACGTCCGATGCAGACTGCTTCACGGCGGGCCTGGCAGAATCTGCTCTGCGAAACATCGTATCAGAGGCGGCTTCCGCAGAGGACAATGTGCTTTCCGAGGCTTGTGGGACTGTACTTTCTGAGCAGCTTCTGCTTACTTCTGACTGGTCCATATATCGTACACCACCGTCAGATGATTTGCAGGTCGATGCAGTACCCGATAATATTGCGTTCGCCCCTGAGGCTCTCGAAGACCCGTTTTGGGCTCGCCAGCTGGCAATACACTTGACTCAGTCAGTGAAGAAAGACGTCGTGCTCGGTGCCTTGCCGCAAGTCCTACGTCACGTCAAAGGTTTCGCCGAAGATGCGTTCCCGTTCATCATTCACTTGGTTCTTTTAGCCGAACGAGATAAGCAGCAATTGGCGAAAAAGAACCTATCCATAGCCATGAAATCCTGGCTCAAGGCAACAGGACCTGCTGTTAGGGAACGTCTCGGTCTTCTTATCAATGCCGTACTCTACTTGAGGGCACAAAAGCTTCCTGGAGAGCATTCCATCGCTGATCGCACTCAGTGGCTCGATGTAGATCTTGCAACTGCCGCCGCCGCCGCTACTCATTGTGGCATGCACAAGACAGCGCTACTCCTAGTCGAGTCGTCATCAAATGAGGGGTCCCGTCAATCACGTCGTTCTTCTGCTATCCGGGCCCAGGAATCCACGGATGTGTTATTGGAGATATTCGAGAACATTGACGACCCCGATGCATATTATGGTCTTCAAGACGGTACAGACTTGAGCAATATTCTAGCTCGGCTCGAGTATGAGAATGATGGTGCAAAAAGTCTTGCTTTCCGAGGCGCCCAGTTCGACAGTCACACACGAAAGAGAGATGTGGCTGTAAGATCAGATGAACGCCATCTTGTAAAGACTCTCAACACTCTTGGTCTCTCGGGATTGTCTCACTCTCTGCTCCAGGCCCAACAAGGCCATGATGGAACGTCTGCGGCTGTCGACTCTACTTTCATCAATGCCCGCAGACTTGAGATATGGGATCTGCCCGTGCCAGCAGCTACTGAAAACCCTTCTGTAGCACTATACAAGGCCTATCAGGGTTGCCACCAGGCAGCCAACGATGCGAGAGTAACGAATGCCATACACGGCGGCTTCCATCAGGTAATGCAAAATTTGGTCAAGAGTGATGCTACCACTTCCCACATTCGAAGCAATCTCAATACCCTCGCAGCACTGTCTGAAATGGATGATGCACTCAATATTTCGTCTGCATCTGGGCTCAATGATCTCTTATCTACATTTGATGCCAGACTACACTGGATGAACAGCGGAAGGTGAGTTCAAGTTTTTGACCCCAAAGGATTGTCAAGTAACGAGAAGCTAATTGATCCAAGGTATGACAATGTCAGTCATCTGCTATCCACCCGCTGGACAACCTTGAGCATGCTCGGTAAGAGCATTCAGACGCAACCCAGGGGCGACGTCAATCTTCGAGAGATCAAGCTGGCCGAGGCGCAATCACTGCTCTCATCATCCAAAGTTTACAGATTTCATTCTGCACACCAGGAGTCTCTCAATATCGCAACTGCCCTTAATGATTCCATTGACCAAGCTGCCGACTTGGGCCTGACCATTGATGCAGCCGCAAGAATTGAGGTGGCCCACTCGCTGTGGGACCACGGGGAGATGGTATCGTCTATTCGCATGCTGCAAAGCGTGGCTGATGACTCTGATCTCAAGAAGCAGGACATTGAAGTTCGTCGAAGCGACCTTCTTGCCGAAATCGGGCACCAAGTCTCGGTGGCACGGCTGGAAAAGCCCGAGAGCATTCAGCGAAACTATTTACAACCGGCTCTAAAGGATCTCAAGGGAAAGACTGATGGCCCGGATGCAGGCAGAGTATACCACCAATTTGCCCGGTTCTGTGACGAGCAACTTCAAAATCCCGACGGGCTTGAAGACCTAGCACGTCTCCAACATCTCAAGCAAGGCAAAAGCGATGAGGTTGCGCAGTTACAGCAGATTGTAAGAAACTCCAAAACTGATGACCAGAAGCGCCGAGCCCAAAATCATTTAGTCAAAGCAAAGCAGTGGCTGGAACTAGATGACCAAGAGCTTCGCCGTGTGGAGCAAAGCCGAAGCGAATTTGTGCGACTCAGTTTAGAAAACTATCTCCTCTCGCTTACGGCCTCTGACGAGCACAACAATGACGCCCTCCGCTTTACGGCCCTGTGGCTTGAAAGTGCTGGCGAGGATTACACAAGTGAGGCTGTGAAGAAACACATTGAAAAGGTGCCAACGCGCAAATTTGCCACGCTCATGAATCAGCTCACATCAAGACTCATTGATCGACAAAATCTTTTCCAAAAGCTCCTGCTTGAGCTCATTTACCGCATCTGTCTGGATCACCCATATCATGGCATGTATCAGGTGTGGTCAGGAACGAAGTCGCGTACCAACAAGGAAGATGACATTGCGGTTCTTCGACAGAAAGCCACAGAAAGAATTGCAAAGAGGCTATCTCAAAACCCGGACGTGTCTGATAAATGGCGCGCCATTGACAAGACAAACAAATCGTACCACTTGTTGGCGGTTGATCGTAACGAGACTCGTTACAAGGCGGGGCAGAAAATGCCGATCAAGGACGTTGCAGCTGGCAACAGGCTAGTTATGGACCTGAGAGAATACCGCATACCACCGCCAACTCTCCAAATCGAGCTCGTGGCCGATCGAGACTACTCTCGGGTGCCTCTTGTTTCCAAAGTTGACCCCTCCATGTCCATCGCCTCGGGTGTGAGCGCCCCCAAGATTATCACGCTTGTGGGAAGCGATGGAATGCGCTATAAACAGTTGGTCAAGGGCGGCAGTGACGACTTGCGTCAGGATGCCATCATGGAGCAAGTATTTGCAGCAGCCTCATCGGTATTGAAGCTTCATCGATCTACCCAGCAGAGAAATTTGGGCATTCGCACTTACAAGGTTCTGCCCTTGACGGCCTCTTCTGGTCTCATTGAGTTTGTTCCCAACACAACCCCTCTGCATGAGTATCTCATGCCAGCGCATGAGCGTTACCATCCCAAAGACCTCAAGGGCTCAAGTTGCCGCAAGGAAATATCACAAGTACAAAGCAAGTCTGTCGAGACAAGATTGGCAACCTTCAAGAGAGTAATGGACAGATTCCAGCCCGTGATGCGCTACTTCTTTATGGAACATTTTGTCGACCCAGACGAGTGGTACGCCAAACGAACCAATTACACGAGAACAACGGCAGCGATATCCATTCTTGGTCATGTTCTTGGTCTCGGTGATCGCCACGGCCACAATATTCTCCTGGACACGGTCACTGGCGAGGTTGTTCACATTGACTTGGGTGTTGCGTTTGAAATGGGCCGCGTACTCCCTGTGCCTGAGCTGGTCCCATTTCGGCTCACGCGCGACATTGTGGACGGCATGGGTGTGACCAAGACTGAGGGCATCTTCCGTCGCTGTTGCGAGTTTACGCTTGATGCATTGCGCGAGGAGACCTACTCTATAATGACAATCCTGGACGTGCTGCGTTACGATCCATTGTATTCTTGGTCAATTAGTCCGGTGAGAATGGCCAAACTTCAAGATACGAGGCGGGATGAGGAAACCGGAGCGGATCAAGCTGCCGAGAGTGTACTAGATCTCAAAAAGAAAGCGGCCAGCGGCTTGGTCAATGAGCCCAGCGAAGCGGACCGAGCTCTCGAAGTCGTGAGGAAGAAGTTGAGTAAAACGCTGAGTGTTACCGCTACGGTCAATGATCTCATCAACCAGGCGGTGGATGAAAGAAATCTTGCGGTCCTGTATTCTGGTTGGGCAGCGTATGCTTAGATCACTTCTTTCGACCTCGCTCACGGCGGCAAGGATATTGCTACCGCGCTTCAGGCTTTGAGAAATCATACGAATGGAGGCTTTTCACAATTTAATGTTGCGCGTGGTTGATATGAACTAGCTAAAAGAGGATTGCCGGTTTTGGTGGGCAATCTCAAGTGTCTTTCCTGAGAAAGCCACCATGCAGAAAAATATACGAAAATACTCATTTGAACAGATTTGTACCCCTCACAAGACGAGGTTGGTCAACATGAAACTTTCCTATTTCGTCGTCTATGACTAGCTCATAACCGTCAAGGTGTGTACGTAGCGAATCTTTCCTCCTTCCACCCTAAACTCATGGCTGTCTGGAAGACTGTCTGCAAACGTCATGAACATGTCGACACTTCCTTTGGCTTCGTCAATAATGTAGCGTCGATTCGTGTTCTTGACGCCGCTAGGGATGCCAACATCACACCGATCAGTCGCTTCACCCTTGCCAGTGTACTTGAGATCGTATGTCAGCTTTTCACTGCTTGATTTTGGTCCTTGGATCATGCAGAATAGGTGGCACTGTTGAAAAGAAAACGCGACAGGTATCTGATCACTTACCGAACCACCCTCAAGCCGTGCACAAGGTTGGCCCCATGGCACAACGACACTCTTGTTGTTGAAAATATCGGCATACGCATCGGCGGCAGCCTGGATGACGGCGCGCGTGTCCCTCTGTGCCTCGGGGATCTCGTCCCATTTCTCCTGCGAGGCCCACTTGAGTGTGCCCGCCACGTCAAACAGCCAATCTCCCTTGTCGGTCACGAGTGTCTCGATCTTGTTGATGCCGCTGCCATCTTGCGCAAAGTACATTTGCGTGCCCGTGACGGACGGGTGCTTGGCATCGGTGATGATGAGCTCAAGGTATGTTGAGCAGGCCGTCGTGTCGTGGAGGCTATGGTTGTGGGCTATTGCCAATGCCTGCGACAGAATTCCCTTGCTCAAATCTGCCGCCTTGAAGTTCTCCGTGTACGTTGTCTGTGCCGTGACTGAGCCCAATTTTGTGGCCTCTCCCGCAATCTGCGCTGCAATGTAATTGTCGGTGGCTGCCTGCAGCGTAGCAAGGTCGCAGGTGGCACGTGTAGAGAGAGGACTAGCAAAGACAATGGCCGAAAGACCTGCCAAAAATGTAATTTTGAGAAACATTGTGCAATTCAACCCAGTCCTGGTTGCGCGGTGCTATTGAATGACCAAGACGGTACAAAAGTCCCGTCTGGCTCCATATCAATCTAGTCGAGTATATATAGGTCTCAAGTATGCCACCTTGGTGGTGTATACAAATGCCGAAGCAGTGTATTTAGCCAAGACATGTTGGAGTATTGCCAGATCGATCCTCCGTATGATAGTATCTTTGCCGGCTGCTTCATTTAGTGCTTGCCGGTCATTGGACGCTTTTACCTGCTGTGCAGTGAAAGCGGGGGGTATCTCTTGAAAACAGCCGACTCTACAGGTTGAATACGGTGGGTAGGTGGTTTGTGGTGCACCCACAAAATCTTCCGTGGGAACATGTATCTCTTATACCGGCTCGTCTTGGTCTGTGGTATGGAGTCCCGCCAGTTTTCAATATAATATCAATCGCAGAATGATAAGGTAATTTGTACCACATTGGTGGTATGTTCACCCTGTGAGAGGCAAAGTGACAATGTATGTGATGTTTCGGAGCAGCGGCCAAACGCGAACGTTACAACTCGTCAACAAAAAGGGATAAATAAAATTGGATGACGTCTGTCTGGATGACAAGACGGTGACCAGAATGTTGAATGAGGGCTTCTTCGATTGAGTTTCACAAGGACGAGACTGTAATGTATTTATTTACTTGCATCTCTTTTATTTAGTGGGGTTTCTTTTTCTGCTTTCGATTTCTACCTACCCAGGTATACGAGCTTTATTACTTCGAGGCATACCACAACTTGTTAAATGTACATGGCTGTTCTATTGCTAAATCTTTCACTCATAAGTCATCAAACCTCGTCCCTTCTACTCGCAAATTTTTCCACGTAACATCATGTCAAACCCGCCCTCCGTGTCTCCCAACTTTGTATTCCGCTGCGACTCTCACAGCTCGTCGTGTTCTTCATCCTTGGTCTCGGCAATTCTCGCCATACCTTCACGACCCTTCTTGACCATGCTGCTCAGGACCTCGAACACGACCTGGGCGCCGGCAAGCGCCGTCTCCTCTCCAGCGCCCTGGTACGCAGGGCTGACTTCGACAACATCGGCACCGACGAGGTTGAGACCCTCAATACCGCGGAGGACGCGAATAAGCTCGCGAGTCGTCCAGCCGCCGGGCTCGGGTGTGCCGGTGCCGGGAGCAAAGGCCGGGTCGAGCACGTCAATATCGAGGCTGAGATAGACGGGATCCTCGGTGCCCAGGGTCTCCATGATGGAGCGGACGACGCCGGCAGTGCCCAGGTCGTCCATGTCGTCGGCGCTGATGCGTACCCAGTTCTGCGCTGTATCATCGTCGTAGTCGCTGTAGTCGTCGCCCGAGAGCCGCGTACGCAGGCCGGCGTGCACGTTGGGCTTGGATGTCACGTTGGACACGAGCCCCTCGTTGCCCGCAAGCCAGAACATGGAGCCGTGGTTGAAATGCGCTTGCTTGCTCTCCCACGCTGACGGGTACTTGGCCGGGTGCCACGTATCGAGATGGGCGTCAAAGTGCAGAACCCGGAGATTGGGATAGTACGGCCTCAGCGCTCGCAGGGCCGGCAGGGCCAAGCTGTGGTCGCCGCCGAGCGTGATTAGCTTGGGCTTGCTATGCACCTGCGAGACGGGTGGGCGAGAGCCGAGTTCGGTAAAGGCAGCCGTCATTTGCTCCAGGGCAACGGCATTATCAATAGGTACAACGGGGATATCGCCACAATCCAAGATGGTAGCCCAGTTCTGATACGGGTTGATATTGGCACGCGGGTTGAAACCTCGAAAGGACGTCTGCCGCGAGCTGGCGTGACGGATTGCGCGAGGTCCGAAACGGGCGCCTTGATGTTACCACAATCATGATCAGCTACATGTACATCTGACTTTCTTGAGCACACAACATACCAGGACGATAGCTGACGGCAGTATCAAAAGGCGCGCCAATAATGGCAATATCAAACAACTCGCTAGGAGTCGTCAGGCACTTGACATATTTTAGGTGAGCAAAAGAGCCAATTCCAGTGAATCCCCACTAATAAAGACAACGAGTTAGTGATCAGTCATAACAGTCTTCCTTCCATTGGCAGCATTGTTGGAGACTTGAGCATAATTTTACATACCTCGACTCCCCATTTCCGCTCCAAGTCATCGAGTTCCTCTTGGCTCCAATGCTTTAGTTCCTGGCCATGGCCGCCACAAGCTCCGACTAAAGCCGTATGGTAGCTCAAGGCTATGCTGAGAAGGGTCGTCAACTTCATCTTGGTAGTGTTAATCAACATAAAAAGAAAAGAAATGGAGGGACAATCATCCTCTCACTTTCAGAGTCAGAGCGAACGGGCATCTATATACATACTATCGCCGAATTAGGCGTGCTGCGTCCCGACGTCTACATAGCCCGTGGGTCGCTCGCTCGCTTGACCTTCTTGGCAAGCCTCTTACCGATTGCAGCAGTTCTAACCCAGGAGACTCCAACGGGCATCAACCGGCGTCGCTCGGCCCCAGTGCCGTAGGCAAGAAACATGGAGAACTTGGCACAAGATAAAGTGGCCCGATATCGCATGATTGGTTGGATTTATCAATGACTGCAACCAAGGGCGCGAGTCGGTCTGCGGAGAACCTGCATGTAGGCTCGGTAGAGAAGGATAATAACATGCTGTCAGCTATCACGTGCGGCAAGATCCGAGCTCTGCTGTTGTACGTATGGAGTAGAAGCTTTGTTTGCACTTCTGGTTGTTCCCAAAGAGAATGAAAACAAGCTCGGTAAACAATATTTCATGATCTCCATCTCGTTGTTGTTTACAGCGACTGCGCTTCATGACGACCGAAGCAAAGCAGTCTCGCTTCGCCCGATTGTAGAACATGACATTGCTGTTACCAGATGAAAGCTTCACAACTACCAAAGCGTTGCTTCGTCTAATAACAAGGTATCTATCTATCTATTCACGCAAATAGCAAGAGGCGCTGGGCAAGTGACATTTCAGGGTGGGGTCAAGAAAACTTTCGGGCAACTACAGACGCAAACGGCAATATTTAGATGGGCATATATGGGGGACAGAATCAACCTGAATTCAATGCACTCCAAATCGCCAAATCGAATCCTATCAAAGCCATTTGCCAAGCATGTATAGATGTTCCCTCACAAACCTGTCCCCGAATTCATTGAATAAAGTATGGCAAGAAAACGAGAACTAATCTTCAGGAAAGAGGGGGAATAAGCTAATGTGCCCTGAACGAATAAACCAAGAGGGGGACATGTGCTGCAGGAACAGTCAGCGGTCAGCCAAGTACCGTAGACCTGCTGTCAGGCTTGTCAAGACTCTTTCAAAGAACCACCGCTTCACTATTCTCGTGCTTTCGCCTGCCTGGTCGTCATAAGTTACAGATCTCACGTGAGCACATCCAAGGGGCCCGGAAATTTCGCCAGTCCTGTGCTGGAGGGAGAAAGCGCTCAATGATCAATGGTGAGTTAGTTCCCGGCCATTTCCACCATGACGCTCAAATTCCTCTTCTTTTCCCTGCAGGTCTAGATCGCTGTGATGCAAGAGCAGAGTTTCCGAAGCCCGGGAGGGGTATCATACTGCCTCAGATCCTCTATGCCGCTGTCATGATCCACGTCCAAAACGACGTGGCCGATCCCCAGGTGAAGCGGCGTGGGGTTCCCGCCAGAGGGTGGGAGACTTTACAGAATTAAGCACTTGTGCGATTTCTTCTTAGGAGCTGGGGGCTCCAGTGCTGCGACAATTGCCTGCTAGCGGTTAGCGAATGATCGAGACAGGAAGTGCCCCTTCATCGACATGTATATGTCTCTGCCGAGGAAAAGATGGTTTGCAAACTTGCCTCATCGAATACGTCCTTAAGCTTATATTGCGTCAAAGCACTGCACTCGACGTACTTGACAGCGCCCAGCTCCTTGGCCATCCGCTCACCATCCTCTTTCCTCACGGGTTGCATCTTTTGCTTTGCCAGCTTCTCCCTGACGCTTTGATCATCGCGCAAATCGGTTTGCGTGCCAACAATCAGGCAGGGGACGCCGGGGCAGTGGTGGTGAACTTCTGGAAACCACTTCTCCCGCACGTTTTCGAACGAGGCCGGAGAAGTGACGCTGAAGCATACAAGGAAGACATCTGTTTGAGGGTAGGACAGAGGTCGAAGTCGGTCGTAATCTTCCTGACCGGCTGTATCAAAGAGTCCCAACGTGTATGGCTCGTCACCGATCCTGCACAAGGAACATCAATCAGCCTCTAGTTCGTTGCATCAAACATGCATCCTCGCTTTGGTTGTTCCAAAAGCAGCATTGCCGATTTCAAGAATTATGCGTCCACACATCGACGTCATAGATGCGACTGCCCATGTGGTATGCAACGTGCAGGAGAGAGGTTGCCAAGAGGATGCGACTCACATAACAGTGACTGCATAGTTGTCAAAGACTGTAGGAACGTATTCCGAAGGAAACTTGTTTGTCGTGTAGCTGATCAGGAGACACGTCTTGCCCACAGCACCGTCACCGACGACCACGCATCTAAAAAGCAATCACAAGTTAGCTTTGACATCATTAGAAAGTAGATCTGCATTTTTTTTTCTCCCACGGTCGCATCGCAGCAACACGCACTATCTCGGTGTCTACAATTCGGCGTCCCGCTTTGAGAGGCTCGACAAGAGTATGGCGGGTGCATGACAGCAGCCGAGGTGATTTGACACACGACGACGCAGTGGGTTGAATGGCGGCAAACGAGGGCGGTGAAAGGGAGGATGACTGACTTGATCGTTGCGACCACCATTTTGTCTAGGTAGTGTGAATGCGCTCTGGTCGAGCGGCGAGGACTCGATGCGGAAGGGATGCAAAGGCGAGTTGTAAAGTATCTATCGAGTCGAGTCGGGGGGAGGATCCAAAGTGGTTGAGCTTCCCGTTATCGTCTTCTGTTGGTGCTAAACTACAGTAGTAGAGTGGCAGCTGGAAATGGGCAGGCAGGCAGGCAGCTGGAGAGCGGCACACAGGAGTTCGCCGGGGTGAGTGGACCGATAAACTCAGTCAAGCGCCAACTTTTTCGAGGTTGTTGCCCGCCGATCGGTGTTTCGACTGGTTTTGTTGATGCTCGCCGGGGACCTACAATGAAATCGGACGGACGAAAGATCGTAGGCAGGTCAAGGTAGTAGGTACGGAGTAGTAGGGTATCTAATGGGAAAATGGAGAATCGGCAGAGGGAGGGGGGCCCTGAGGCGGTGTTTTATCGGCTGGTCTGGCTCAATTTGTATGATACGCGCAGTTCAATGCTCGCAGGAAAAGGAGATAGTATGAATTGGGATTGGACTTGTTTTCCTTTGCACAATCCCGGACTGCAAAGAAAAAGAAGTTGCAAGAAGAAAAAAAAATACGAATAATTGAGATTCCGAAGAGTGACACGATTTGATTGGTAGTATCGTCGGTCTGGAACGAAGAGAAGGATGGTGTTGCAGAATATAGGGAGAGGATGGGGGAGAGAAGGGGATTGGAAATTGTGTTTGGCTTGGCTCAAATACGTCGTAGCTATTGACCTATGCCAGGAGGAGGCAGGTAGGTACTGTAGGTAGGTAGTTGGTGGAATTGGCGAGCAATGGAAGCTGGCACCAGACGCCCAAAAGAGTGCTGATTGATTGATTACCACGCAGGGAGAGAAAAAAAAAAGCCTTTTTTTTCCCTTCTCAAATGATGATGAAATGCCAGGATTCTTGTCCGTTTTCTTGTCCCAGTCCTACCTAATGCAGGGACAGTGTGAAGCCGGAGCTGCAGGCTTATTAGGTCAGGTAGGTTCTCTATTCTGTGTGTCGCTGCTGGGAATTGGGTCGGAACTAATGTAGCAAAGCTCGCTGAACCCTCAACTAGGCAAGGTACCTTGTATGTAACTGGAAATATCATGGAAGACTGGAAGGCGGCCTGGGCGGCATGGGAAGTAGGGATAACCAGTGGCCAGATATGACGCTCGGTCCGGCAAACAGGCAGCACCAGCTGGTAGGAATCTATGGATGGCTATGATGTCGAACTGTGCGAAAATGCGGGCAGCTGTTGATAATGGATGCAGCGACTGGGAATTTTGACCGGGGAGGAGGGGGAAACCAGACCAGTATTCCGTACCAGGACCAGGCCAGACCAGGACCAGGACCTGACCACTCTAAGGCCTGTGACGAGCTTCGGGGAGGGATGGCAATTCATGAAAAGGAACCACAACGAGTGCTTTGGTCTCTGCGCGTGCTGGGATCTGGTTTATTTGATTGATTGCTTGATTGGAACTGGATGGACGCAGCCCGGAAAGCCCCCCAGTTTGATGGGGGTATCTACCAAGGAGCACTGGGCGATGGAGCCGGGGTCCCCTTCGAAGCCGGATGGATATGCGACTAAGCGACTTGTGCGACAAAAAGTCCACGAGAGAACATCCACTTTATTATTATTGTTATTGTTGTTTCTTTTCATCTGCGTTCTCCTGCTTTATTATTCGAGTATTTCAAGCAATGCGATGCGAGGTGCAGCGCTATTGACACTTATAGTACTTCTCCTGTTGCGAAATAGAATAAGCATAGATCCATTCTAGAAAGTGGATCAAAGTTGTTTTGCTTTGTTGGTTCTTGCATCCGACCTCTGGTATACAAGACTGACATTGTAGGTTATTATTCAATGTACCACGCAGGGAGAGGATTGGACACTTGAAAAATCATGCCAAGAGCTGCCGTCATCCCTAGGAAACTACCCAAAGATTTTCGAGGGCGAGAAAGAGGAAGAAAAAAAAAACCGCCCTACAGAGTAGAGTTATGTGACTACGAGAGTGGTGTTATTAGGTATGAATGTCAAGTATTCCAGGGTCCAAGCGCTACAGAGTACCTCGTAAGCATCCGGCCGGGCGCTTGTACTGGGTAATGACCAGAATAAATGCAGCTCAGTGCTGCATTGAATAGTAGTAGTACTTCGTACAGCACCACAGGGTCGGGTCTGGTCTCCTTTTACCTTGCACATGCTTCGTATACATGGACCCGGAACGCGGTGAAATTTCCAAGGCCTCATCGTGCAAATGCGAACCACATCGTCTGAGACTTGACTGGGTAGCTCAGGTACAGATGGGAACCAGTTACCTAACGGACTTGAGATGATCCTGAATAGACTGCTGCCGGCTCGTGCTACGGTGACTGTTGTGTTGGCCTTGGGCCGTTACCTCTGCAGTAGCCGCCGCCTGGCCTGTGTGATGAACCGGCTTGCCCTTGTCCTGTCGTGGTAGCTGATTCATGTGAAATGAAATTTGACGTGGAAATACACAGTTAAGGGCTGCGGGGGAACAGCTAGTGCACCTCTTATTACTTTTACAACTGTGGATCGGCCATTGATATTCCGTACTTGGACTCATCATATGCATTTCGGGAACGAATACAAGCTATGGAGTAGATCAAGTTACAATCACCTCTGTGTGGAACGTCAACGGGCATTACGAATTGATGGGGGCTCATTGCTGGGCTTGGCCATCCTCAAGGCTAGGAAGCCCGAGACTTCGAATATCCATTCACTCATGGCAAGTACCGAACAATGTCACTTGCACGAGTTGTAGATAAGGTACTGGCTAGCAGTAGGCTACAAGGAAATACACTTGCGTCCATAAAAATGTCGACTGTGGTCAGGTTGGTTCATAGTATCTAGTGGACTTCGGTAAGCACATACTCTGTTTGAGTCACTACACAGATCTTGAGCGGTGGATATGGGATATTCCGTATACCAAGTACGGTCCTTCAGTTCAAGCGTGCACAGAAGGGTCCAGCTAAAGGATTCGTTCTTATAAGCTTAAACTTGAATCAACCAGGCCTAAGAAAGATCGTCCTTCATAACTTCTTGTGTTGTACTTTTTTACGCGCTCACTGTGGTCTCAATTTGCCTTTGCTTCTATGGACGCAGAATCACTGGACCCCGAGACTGTGCTTTTCGTCCATGGGACTGTTGGTCTTGTAGTATCAATCTCGCTTGGAAGTCTCTTTGCTATGCAGGTCATGTACCACGTTGGTCGCGAGTGAATTAAAAGACTTTAACAGCAGCAATTGCGAATTTGTGGCCTCATTCTATGGTGACTACTGCATTTCAACGTCCGCTACATGCGGGCAGCCATGGACCTTGGGACATACTTGCATCTACGGATTGGAAAAGCCGTTGTGGATCCTGCTAGACACGCTCCAGCTGAGAGATACACGGCCTAGGGGAGTGACTACGTGATGTACGAAGTACTTCGTACATGCTGCTTCGTCCAGGTCTCATGCATCATACGTTAAATGGGCACTTGTTCTCCAGCTTATGCCTTTCCAAGTATGTGAGGAGCGTTGAAGGGATAGCAATAGTGCCCCGAATCATTAACTCGTGAGTTCAATATATGTAATCATATAGGTTTGCCTGTTTGTCTTGTCACTCAAGCTGAGTGAGGCTGATGCCTCCATTCTGGACCGAAGAACGTCAAGCCTGTCATTTCCAATTAAAAGCGGCCGATCTCGTATATCAGACCCTGCCACGATAGGTTGACAGACGTTGGCCAGCAAGTGAGCAGGCTGGATTTTGCGGATCATGCAGCATGAAACCGTGTATTTTATGTGCCCAAATGGATTCAATATGCAGCTTGCCCTCCTAATTGCCCTCCTTGAACCTTCGAGGGCGATAGTCGGAAGCCAGTACGACCGATAAGGCACTATCAGGGTGATGTGTTCGACTGGGCTCCGATGGGAACTTTGGTCTGACTTGAAGCAAGTCACACACAAGCTGGCGAAAAGCGCATTTTGTGCAAAGGCAAGAAGAAGAAAAAAGAATAGGAAACCACGTGCTAACTTGTTAAAGTCAAGTTGACGCCGCGTGGTATTCAGAATTAGATCGTGGGTTAATCAGAGATCTCGTCACGCCCGGTGCTTCTTTTTTCCCCCCTTCTTTTTTTGTTCTTTCGCCTCAAACTGTGCATGTCGACATGTACATGTCCTGATGATTAACCCCGTTCTTGAGACAGGAAGGCTCCGAGTGCCGCTCATCGCTGGGATTCTTGCGTGATTGTGAGCATGGATTTTAAAGAAAGGAGATGACGGTGACGTTGGCTGCAATCTTAATCGACCCTAATCCTGGTTTGCCATGCCTTCAAGATCTGCTTACGGGCTTTTTTGTTGGCGGTTTCCCATTGCTCAGCAGGACAACCATGGCCACTTGGCAACAATTGTACCTCGGGGGAGAGATTATGTCTTTCCGGAATTCAGCCAGGTTCAGAGACTGATCCGTGATGGTCGCAAGGAAGATAGTAGTGCATACCTGGTAGGGACGTCGAGGCAGATAAAGCCAGGCACTTGGAAAAGGATCGACGCATCAGAACATGGCCAATCTTCGCTAAAAGTGGTCATCTTTGGATGTCAGATCAAAGTAGACAGCAACCAGCACTTGAAATACCTGGAAGATGCTAAAGTAATCTATCCTCGTTGAGAAATCGAGTGCGATGCCTGATAATCACGTCGAATACTTGCATAGATAGATACGGGGGCAGTTCAAGCGTGTAAGTGGTAGGCGATAGTACCCAATTTCTTGACAAAGTTGCAAGCGCCCTAATTTGAGCGTCATTGTTTCGTGTCAGATCCTCCCGATCAAGCAATACATTCAAAGAATCAGAGACCTCGAGAACATATCAATTTGAGTTGAGCAATAATAAGCCATCAGGTAGAGAGATTGTAAAATGGGACATCTTGGTAATTTTTCATCAACTTACAAACAGGACCATACCTCCCCAGTCTAGGATACTGTGTGTATCAGCCCTGGGCCCCCACCCGCCGCCACGTTTATTGCCCACAGGGACGAGCGACTTTAGCGCTGTCAATCTTATGGAGCTTACACAGTAGTGCACCTACTACGCAATGTGGTATGTAGTACATTAAACCATAACGCGTGACCTCTACTACATACCCATTCCACCATCAATGGTCACAAACAAACTTGAGCTTTACTACATTACCCATGCGTGCTTGCCAGGGACCTGACGTGCATGAGCACAGTACCAACACAGCCTTGGACAAGCTCATCTAAGGATACTACTATCTAGAAGCCTTCTAGAAGCAAGGCTGTTGCGCCGCTCATTTCCATTCCTCATCCAACGCCAGAGTCTAGGCGAAGTACTTCAAGCAGATTTGCTACACTAATCATGGGCATCGACGAGATCGACACTCTCTTGGAGCGTTACCTCCTGTTACTTGATGAATACACCACCCTCCGCGCCAACCTCAACGCCCTACAGGCTGGTATCTACCAGAATATTGCGAGAGCCAACTTCTCAGCCGAGCGAGGCATGAGATTCGGCCAGAACCACTACGATGACCGGGTTCAGGCCTCTCGGAAGTTGGAAATCTCTCTCGACGACAACGGATGCGCCGTATTCAAGGTAGCTGGTGCAACTTTGGACCAGACAGCACCACAAAAGTGCCAAACGGAAGCTGCAGCCGTCGGTGCGCAAGATCCCGCCCAAGAGGAGACAGATGCCAACGTGTCTCACAATGGCAAAGAGCCACTAGTCCATGAAGACAAGGCCCCTCGAAGAAAGAATCCGTTGCAATGGTTTGGCCTGTTGGCGCCGCTCCCTCTACGTCAAGCTCAGGCTCAAAACGTCAAAGCTGTGGAAGATATCATACCACGGCTTGTCACGGTCAATGCTGAGATGGAGCAAGTTGAGATAGCAGTACGGAGAGCAAGAAAAAAGCGTGGCAAGGCGGAAGCCACGGCAAAGAAACATCAGGAGGAGGTACATCGACAGGAGGAAGCGACGGCATGAAGGCTCGGCACGGCATTGATTACCGCAAAGTTGACTTCTTCTTAGGGGACATTCTCTCGAGCTCTTCATCTGAGGACTTACTTCCAGACATAGATGACATGAATTGAATGTCTTGCCGCTACTGTCTTGGCATGCCCAATATGACATATCCATTCATGTTAGCCATGAGTAGTGCATGTAGAGATCTCGAGACAGCATTGTCTGACAAGAGTGAATACCAATTCTGACCAGGCTAGCTATATACCCATCAACTTTTCCCAACCAAGGTGCAGTATACTGCGTCTCAGCAGCAGCTTTTTAGACCCCCCTCCCAACATATGATGATGAAATTTTGGCTTTGGCAGAGCTGCACGTTTCCAGATGTGCGCAACCAGATGGCCAACGCTCTAGTCTACGGCATGGCCTTTGAAATACTTTCGTTTGCCTGCAGGCAACCTGGCGCTGCATAACATGGGCTGTTTGGGAACAAAAGACGGTCATATGTACAGCTGCCTGATTGGCAATCACTGTACATGTGTACACTGCAGTAGGGTTACCATCTGGCTATCTTGTCAGCCTGACTATTTTCTCAGCTTGTAGCATTGCAACCCATCGCTCGCTCTCTTCTCTCGTTTCGTTTGCAAACTCTGAGTTTTCGACTGCCGAGCCAATTCAGAAGGCAATTCGATCCGAGTGATGTTGCACAGGAGAGCGCGGTACCTCATTGACACACAGCCAAATCTAATGGTCGACCTTGGTAAATGAGTACCTCAATCCACAGACGTGTTCGATTTCGCCCAGTCCAATTGTTGGTGGCTGGCCAATTAGTTTCGTCAGTCTTTTTGATAATTCGTGCGGTTCAAACAGCAAGCTACCAGACTGTCATTACCGTCCGCATCTAGGCTTCTCTTTTTGTTTCTTAGTACCTTCTAGTGGTATGCGGAAGGGGTACGAGGAGAACTATCCTTTGCTGTTCCGTACCTAAAAACACGCCAGGAAGGAGGAAAGTGGCTCTCCTCCGTCGGGCATTACAAGGATATGCCCAAAACTGACCTCATTCACCCACCACACTTTTTTGGCCCTTGCAAACCGGGGCGTTTGTTCGTTTGCCTAGGGAAACTTCTCTTTTTCCTGGGGTACACTTCAATAATCGCAGGACAAGCACCCAGCTCCAGGGTTCCTATTTGGCCGCCCAGCGAAGGAGCTCCAGGATCTTGGAGGCGGCAGTTTTGAATTATTGCCTGGTGCACCAACCGCGGGGTTCGTTCCTCCACCAAACGAAAAAGTGCCCGCCCTTCGATCTGACAGTCTGACTGAAAATCGCAGCCGCAGCAGCTTCAATTGCATTGCCGCGCCCCCCTCCCACGCCCCAGGCCGATGCTCAAATCTCACGTGCCACTATCTACCCTTATCCGTTGCGGATTGAATTCGGATTACGTGAATATCAAATTTTGAAAAGCTGCACCACACTCGCAGCAAGACGAGACGACATGGGGCCTCCAGCGCCTTCGTTCGACTATTACGCCGAGCTTGGTGTCTCAAAGTCAGCCACTTCGCAGGAGATCACCGCTGCTTATAGACGCCTGGCTAGAGTCCACCATCCAGACAAGAATCCAACTAATCAGGAAACAGCAACGAACAAGTTTCAAAGGGTAAGCTTCTGTATTCCTGCCATGTTTATCCATGCCGCTACGACTACATTCCTCCCTTTGCCCATCTCTCCTACACACCCTGTCCCAGTCCAATCTCTGACTCGAGTCTATGCTCCAGGTCCAGCAAGCCTATGAAATTCTTTCCAGTACCGCTGGTCGGAGGCGATACGACACTTTCCCAACTACTAGAGGCACATGTACGTGTGGTCACTGCTACGACGAAGACGACTATGAAGATGGAGAATGGTACTCGGATTATGAGGACGACGATGAATACTATTACGACTTTACCTTTGGGCCCCGCGGCACTGGTCCTGGCCCTCGGCCCTACTTTAGCAGCGGACACCGACATGGTGGCTTCACTTTCGGCGGAAATCGCTTTCGCACCTATGAGGATATGGAGAAATTCTTTCAGCAGCAAGAGCGTGCAGACGCCGAGCGGCAAGCAATAATTCAAGAGGAGCGCCGTAAGAAGGAAGAAGCCGAAGCGGCCAGGAAGAAGGCCAAGGAGCAGGCCAAACAAGCCGAAGAGAATGCCATTCAAAAGGAAAAGGATACACGCAAGGACGCCGAGAAGTCCAAACAGGATGAACGTTGGCAGAAGGCTGGTGCTGTTACCAAGGATGAGAAGCTAAAGACATGTCTGCACTCCGACTTTTGCAACAAGGTTCCTCAGAGAAAGAAATTCAAGTGCGGTACCTGTGGAAAGAAGGGAGGCATGACAGCGTTCGAGTGCCCATTTTGCTCGAGCTTCCTATGTCAGCAGTGTGTCACCAAATTTTCTGAGAGAAGAGCGAAAGGAGAGGATCTCCCAAAGCCTAAACCAAAGCAAGAATCAGAACCAGAACCAGAATCCACAGTTACGCCCGTAGAGGAAGAAGCTGCCGACGAATCAGAGCCAGAACCAGAAGTTGTACCAGACCCAGAACCAGATCCTCCAACAAGGTCAACACCTCCGTTAGAAAAGGTGAAGCAGCCGGTTTCAGCGTACCAGAAGGACATTGAGGACAAGTACGGGTGTCTTAACGGACAGACCGGCAAGAAGGCGAAAAAGAACAAGAAGGCAAATCTTAGCACACAACCCCTGAAGAGCTCAAGTCCCATGCATGAAGCAGCACCACATGTATCGATACCTGGAGTGAAGGTGAATGTCGGGCTCAAGGCGGCAAAGAGAGGCTCTCCTGCGCCCAGTGTCTCGTCAAGGTCAACGCAAGACGACTATCAGCCACATATGAACGGCACCAACGGAGGCTCAGTTCGCAAGCCCTCTGCGGAGCCCACCCTCCAGAAGACTCAGAGTAACGGTTCGAGCATTAAGACATCGTCAGCACCACACAATGATAACATTAAAAAATCGAATGGGATACCTGGTCTTCATCCCTTCCCACCCCCACCCCCGGCCCCTGAGCCTTCTGTCACGGGTGCCTCTGAAGTATCCGAGGAAAGTGTCAATGACTTCAATCCTCCAACTGGACCTGCTAGCTCAATGCGATTTCGGAAGCCTTCAACGAATGGGCACAAACCCCAGCCGGCTTTCTCCTGTTATATTTGCGGCCAGCCCGGTCATCTGGCTCGGAATTGCTCGCAGCCGCGGACGTGTTATAATTGTGGTGGAACTGGCCACTTGGCCAAATACTGTGTTGGTAAGACCAATGGATCGAATGAATGGCAGCAGGCAGCACCGCCGCTGGAAGTTGATCCCAGGAGTGCATTCCCGGATTTTCAGATCTACGATGAAGAGGAATATGAGAAGAACACTCCCACAAAAGTGGCAATCAGGGGCGCGACTCTTGCTCGAGGCATCACGGAGCCTCTTTTGAGACAAGCAATGGAATGCTTTGGACCAATTACCGAATGCGTCATTGATCGCAAGGCTGCTATCGCATGGGTTGCCTTTATAGAGAGCGGTGCTGCCCAAAACGCAATCGCTGCCAGTCCTGTCCCTGTTGCCAAGGGAGCCGTGAGGATCTCTACATGGACTGGGGATTATTATTAAACGCAACCAATGACACGTGGCGATATTCGGACATTGACCACAATAGTTATGTCGAGATGAACTGGTGGACAGCTCTCTTTTGTTGGCTTGGGGGGGGGGGGGGGGGGGCAAGTCAAAAGGGATTCAGGGACTTGCAGCAAGTTTGCTCGGATTTGGTGTTTTCACCAATACAGGGCATCTGTGGACCGTGTATGTGTCGTAAAAGATATATCCGAGCTGATCAACCAGACTTTGCTCATAACTTGCCAGGACGGCACAATATTGACAAGATAATTGACTCCCACTCATTCACGAGAATCACCAAGATGTTTTCATATGTTTGAATTACATGAGAGAATTGTATCCTACACTCTCGCGGCCTGCTGCCTTTGCATTTCTTCTCTGAAAACGTTCCGGCCGTCCTGCGGCCTGCTAACCTCCATGTCACCCATTTGAACCCCAACTGCTCCAGCGCCCAGGGACCTTTCAGCCCGGCTTTTCCTGCTTCCATATCCATCTTTGCTGCCCACTCCAAACATGTCCCTCAATTTCCAATCCGGATTCCTCCTCTTCTTGAACAGAAAGCCGGCAATGGCCATTAGTAACAACACTCCCACGACGACGGGAACAATGATTGCAGCTAGATTTGGTCCACCTGACGCACTGAAGTTGTCCTCACTCGACGCCGCTGGGACGACGCGGACGAGTGGACCCAAGGTCCTTTGCATGGTTTCGCCATCAGCCGCCGCGGTGACAATGTAAAGCTGTGCATCTACGCCATTTTCCGACGTCGAATTGAGGACTGAGCTCGAGATGTCCCACTACAAATTGTTAGATATTTATTTATTGGATGGATAAATGAGTTTGAAGCGGCTCTTTCAAAGCAGTTTGTCTGAGTCTGCTCTTGCAGCACCACCTCGGACAATGTTTGCTCATGAGGCGACTCCCCCCCAAAAAGGGGGAATTACACTGGAAATTCCTTACCGAGTACGACCCGGTACCGGCCCGAAGCGAATTGGACGTGAAGCCGTCATCATCCTGGGGCGTAGGGTCACTGCCCGACGACGGGCTGAAGTTGGCTTGGATCTGGACGAGAACACTGTTGTTGGCAAAGAATGAGGGGTCCCACGTCACTGGCTCTCGTGTCAGTGATGTAGACATGAATAATACGTGAGTTCCGTGGGTTAAGCATGACTTACCAATTAGCCTGTCTCCGGGCTTGGCTTCCGTGTTGTTGGCTGGCTCGCAGAAAGGCGCGACATCGCCGTCGATATTGCTGCAATTCATTTCATAAATGTTTGAAATAACGATTGTAGTATGTGAAATGATGGACTAGATATCAAATTGAATGAAAGACGTTGAAGATATTACAAGAGATACGCAGTCGTTCCAGGAAAAATAAATCAAAACTCAGAGAGAGAAGTATAATATCCTGTCGCTCACTTGGAGGTAGAGCCGGTTTTTAATCCATGAGCTGCCAACTGCCGGATTTTAACACACACGTGTTACGGCACAATGTCGATCAGGTACGGCCATCCCGTTCTCGCTGTCCCGGCCAGTGATTGTTTGGTGGTGGTACGATACCTGGAAGCTGGACGTCGTCTAAATAAAGGCCCCAGGGGTGATCTGCGACAATGATCGCCAGCTTGCAACTCCAAATTGTTCTCAACGTCATGGACAGTATAATTCGGCTGTTCTCTTTTGCAAAGACCAACGGGCAAGTTTCCTTGGTAATTCTCGAATTTCAAGTGTTTTGAAAGATTGGAGGATTGTCGGATTCCAAAGTCAAAATTTGTCTCCGAGGAGCGGGATTTGCTCAGTCTTCCAACATCATTGGCGGTTGCATGGGGTCGTCTTCAATCTTGCCCTAGCCGCGGGGCATCAACATCAGGTCTCAATTTGATAATTGTCGAACGCACTTGAGACGAAAGACAGGGTTCCTGCATGCACCTCAATGACAGCCGATGTCAACGTCGCCTACAGCCCTGTGAAATTCATGCTCACCTCGCGCCATTGAATTTTGCTTTTCGACTGGGGTTATTGTGTTGGGCAATCCGCCTTGTACTTTGCCAAGTACTGCCGGATGCGACTGTGGCCTTGGCGAGGATTCCATCCGATTCCAAGTGACCACTTTGAACATTCGCAAAGAAACCAAGGCCAAGAACCTCTCTTGAATCATTGGAATTCGGAACCAACATGAGCTCCGCATCTTGATTGATTCACCTGGTCAACGGACAGGTTAACGTTTTTAGACGGCTGGTCTCAGTGACCATTGTACTTGAGGAAATAGATTTACAGATACCTGCTATAGTTGGAATTAGACTAGGTTAGCTGTGTTCCACAATGCATACATGCCCAAGTATACAGCAAAGTCGCCCCGCATCAGAGAACTTTGGGAAGTATATCGGATACATTGTATCTAAGCATTGCTATTACTCTGCCTCTGTGCTTTGAAACAGACGTTGATGTGAGAATCCAAGACTGGTCCATTACATGAAATCGAAGCTCTTGACAGATTTATTCAAGACGATCCGCCACACCGTGCAGTCCACCATTCCCATAGGGCACCCACATGTCCACCCAGCCACCGAGCTTGGCCTTTTCTATCTCGTCCGGGCTGTACCTCTCCTCAAACGGCCGTTCCACATAGAAAGCCTTGAGGCCACACTTTTTGGCGGCCCAGAGGTCACCCAGGTGCGCCGCGACCAGCGCAACCTCATGCGGTTGAAGGTTGAGCTTTGCAACGGCGCCCTCATATACGGCCGGATCTGGCTTGTATGCGGCCCAGGTATCGGAACCCCAAATCTCCGAGAAACCCAAGCTGTTCGTGTCGTTGAGTGAATGGAGGAGCTGAACTGAGCCATCAGAGAGAGTAATGACAGGTCCATGCTTGGCCAGCCTCGCAATGGCTGACGCCGAGTCTGGCCATGCCTCGAGCTTGTGCCACAGGAAGACCAAATCCTCGCGCTGCTGAGCATTCCAAAGGCCCTCGAACTTGTATTTTGAAATCATTAACTTTAGAGTTCGTCTATGAACCTCTTCTTGCAACAGGAAATCAGTCACGCCCGGTTGAGCAGAATGTGCAAAGTTTATATATCTGGAATACCTGTACCATTGTGAGTGCTCTGATTTACTCGATTATAAATTGCAATGCCCAATTCTCACCATTCCGAGGCGAACCACTCCCAGTCAGTGTGCGTCATGTTCTTGACACGTTCAATCAACACCGATTCATTGTCTGAAACTTGTTGTTCTCCAATAGCTGAACTGGCAGCAGCCTCCAAACTAAGAGCCAGGCTCTGGCGCCAATTGACGACTGTTCCAAAAACGTCGAAGACGAAGGCTTTTGGCGCAGAAATCTTGGAAAATGACATTTTTTTTTCTCGGAAAAAAAAAATAGAGTATTGAACTGAGATCGATGATGGCAATTAACTACAAGCAAATGAAATGTAGAATACTACCCAGGCAGTTTGTTAGTTATTATATAGTCGAATGCCAATCGGTTGACCTGTATGTCAGCGCAAGGGCGTACCGTGTTACGTCCCCGCAACTTCAGATTCGCGGGGAAAATGTTACTATGCGTCAGCGCTTCGTGCAAGTCGCCCCAAGGCGTCAGATTGTTTTCGGCATGCGGACGTATTCGGCAGACTAGACATGCAGGATTTCTCATAATTGAAAAGCTTTTGTATTCCAGGTGGAGCAAGCTATCGTTTGATAACCATAGCCTGCATTTATGCACGAGACAGTGACAGACATGTCACTATTCAAGTGATTTGATATCGAATAAGGTCATGCGAGTGTAGTGTAAATTGCTGGGTGTTTCACTTTACACTCTTTCTACTCTGCTTTCCAATGATACTGCGCTGCTGGGTGGTCAGAGGGCGGTCGAGAGACACCTTCTTTACCATATAGATTCTCTCGGTACGTTCCCCCATCGACGGCATAGTCATTCCAGAACAGGTCCCTCTTCCTCAAAACCGGTAATAGATCTTCTATCACATCTTCAAAAGAGTATGGCATGAGCGCATATGCCAAATTGAACCCATCAACATCTGCTTCGCGGACCCATCTCTCCATTTCATCAGCGACATGCTCTGGTGTTCCAATGACGGTTGCGCCGAGACCTCCAATCTTGATGTGGTTTGCCACGGTATGTTTGGTCCATTTTGGCACTCCTGGGCTCGACTTGGACCATCCTTCAACGGCAGAACGGATCGCGTTGGACTCTACATGACGAAGCTCCTCGTCGTCGCCGTATTTTGCCAGGTCGATGCCAGTCCAGCCGCCAAACAGGGCGAGGGCGCCATCTTCGGATCCATACTGAATCAAGTCGTCGTACTTGGCTTGCGCTTCTTCCTGAGTCTTTCCGATGATCGGACAGAGAAGCGCCAGAAACTTGATGGTGCTGGGGTCTCGATTGAACTGCTCTTTGGCCATGAGTCGAATTTCGGCAATGTTTTTGGCAACGACGATGGGACTATGGCCTGCCACAAATATGGCTTCGGCATTCCTCGCGGCAAAAGCTTTGCCTGCTTTGGATGTTCCAGCTTGCATGATCACAGGCGTGCGCTGCGGCGACGGTTGACAAATGTGCGGCCCCGGCACATTGTAATACTCGCCGACATGGTTAATCTGACGAACCAGTGACGGGTCCGTGTAGATCCGCTTCTCTCGATCAAGCTTGACAGCATCGTCTCTCCAGGAGGATTGCCTGTGTTCAGGTTAGGCTGGAGTCGAGGAGGGAGGTGATTGAGATGCTCACCAAAGTTTGTAAGTGACCTCGACATATTCCTCGGCAATCTCATACCTCTTGTCATGTTGCGGCTGTTCTGCGTGGCCGAGGTTCCGTGCTGCCGAATCAAGGTAGCCGGTAACGATATTCCATCCCAATCTTCCACGGGTGAGATGATCCACGGTGCTCAGTCTGCGGGCCAGGTGATAAGGCTGTTCATAAGTCGTAGCTATTGTTACTCCAAAGCCTAGGTTCTTGGTGGCTGCCGCCATGGCTGGGACGACGGCAAGAGGCTCATTGACTGGCCATTGCGCGCCCGACACTATGGCCGGATCTGGATTATGAGGTCCCTTGTATACATCATATGCGCCCTGATCATGGTCTTCAGAAAAGAATAAGGAGATCAATCAATCAATCAGCCACAACTTACAAGAACATCGGCAATAAACATGCCATGGAACTTTCCTCGTTCAAGCAATTTGGCCAAATCGACCCAGTGATTTATGTCATTGAAATTCCACGACTTGTCATTAGGGTGCGCCCACAGACCCGGGGACTGATGGCCGCTGCAAGATTCAACAAAAGCATTGAGAATAAGTTTCTTTGACGCCGCTGCACCGATTTCTGAAGATGCCATGATGAACTCGGCAGCAATGTTATACTGCGGTTGAACAAGAGAAGAATGAATTGAAAGGCAAGGTATAGAGTATCATTTGCCCCGGCATTCTCTTGATGATGTGCTTAATATAGGATTCCCCCCACGTGCAACCTCATTTGACGATCTACTGGATATACAGCATGAGTAAAAGTACAATGATGCAATAATTAGAGTTTCGGTAATTGCTCTTGGATCGATTCCAAAGAGTATCGCCAGTCTGCTTGGCGAGCCAATAGGTAGTCGGTTATTCCAGTCCTTGGACCCGCTTTTTGAGCACGAAGCCTTCCCCAGTAATCGCGTGCTCGTGATAAGACTGATCTAGTTTGGCGATCTTGCATTCGAGATGGTTTGCTCACCAATGACAAGACTTGTTTCTTGCCGATTGAACTTTTAGAGAATAAGCGATGAGAGGTCTGGCGGCCGCACTTGAACTTCAGCTTCCAAGTGTTTGGGACGCAAGATTACAGAACATGTAAAGAAAGGATTATACACTAGGCAGTACCTAGGTAGTCGCGTCGCATCATACAAGCTAGAGATTAATCATCGGCAGTTGAGGTTGAGCAAATTATTTTGGTCATGGTGAGAAGCAGATTAATAAGTCTCAAGCTCGTCCTGATATCTCAGGAGTGTTGTTCAAGCGAGTATCCAAACTACATTGTAATCTACGGTGTACCATGGCATTCCTAGAGAGCAGAGCCGCTGCTGCGGTTGAACCACCACTGCCTCAGGCAGTGGGCTACGCTGTAGTCGTCGGAATTGGGTTTCTCATAGCCTTTGTCATGGTTTTCGTAACGTACATTCTCAAAAAGACAGTTGGCGAAGACAACAAAACGACGGAAATGTTCATGACGGCTAATAGGAGCGTGGGTACTGGTCTGACGGCATCCGCAGTCATCTCATCCTGGCTTTGGAGCACTGCAATGCTTGGGAGTACACTGGTTGGCTACAATTTTGGTGTAGCCGGACCCTTCTGGTTTGCTGCCGGGTAGGTGATTGTCCATTGAGAGGCTACGGCGCGTGGCCGCTGACTTGTATTCCTTAGCTGCTCGCCCATGATTGTTTTCTTTGCCGTGCTAGGTATTGCTTGCAAGATGCGCATACCCGAAGCTCATACGCTGCTGGAGATTGTGCGCATACGATATGGCAAGGTGGGACACTTGGTATGGATCGCCCTCTGTCTCATTAACAACATTATTGCTGTGGCAAACATGTTGCTCGGTGCGAGTGCCGCAATCAGTGCCCTGTAAGTCGATCATGTTGAGAGTGTAACCACGATTCACATACTAACACTCATGATAGCACTGGTATGCATGTTATTGCTGCCACCTTTTTGCTGCCGGTCGGCGTCATACTCTACACTTTTGTTGGCGGCATCAAGGCAACATTCTTGACCGACTATTTTCATACATTTGTCATCACCATCATCATCTGCTTTTTCACAATCAAGACATTCTTGGTCCCTGAGATTGGGTCACCCGGTGGTCTTTTTGACTTGATTGTCAAAGCTGGCGAGTCGTTCCCCGTTGAAGGCAACCAAGGGGGGTCATACTTGACAATGACTAGTAAAAATGTATGTGATCGTCAATCATTGGGGTGATTCTACCACTAACATGGTACAGGCCATCCTCTTTGGTATCATTCACGTATTGGCCAACTTTGGTCTGGTCATCATGGACACGGGCTTTTTTGCCAAGGCATTCAGTGCAGCTCCGCAGGCTGTTGTGCCTGGGTACATTGTTGGAGGCATTGCCTACTTTGCCATCCCGTGGTGCCTGGGAACAATCATGAGCTTTGCCGCGCTTGGCCTCGAAGACACGCCAGCCTTTCCTACGTTTCCAAATCGCATGACCACCACTGAAGTCTCGAACGGGCTCGTTCTGCCCTACGCCGCAGTGGCTATTGCTGGTAGCGGGGGAGCAGCGGCCGTACTGCTCATTATATTCATGGCAGTGACCTCGACCATATCGGCTCAAGTCATCGCAGTGTCTTCAATCATAACATTTGATATATACCGACAGTACTTTAACCGGGCCGCAACAGACCGTGATGTAATTCGATGGAGTCACATTGGTGTGGTTATTTTTGGCCTCTTCTCTGCGGCTTTCTCGACAGCACTGTACTATGGCAATGTGGATCTCGGGTGGACTCTATACATGCTTGGAGTTCTCACTTGCCCCGGAATATTCCCTACCGTCTTTACAATTCTCTGGAAGAAGCAATCTAAAGCAGCAGCAGTTGTCTCTCCGTTGTTGGGCATGGCAACTGGAATAGCAGTGTGGTTGGGCTCTGCGCATGCCCTTGGAGGTGAAATTTCCGTGGCCACGACTGGTCAGACGTTGCCCTGTGTATACGGTACGACGGCCTCTGCTCTGAGCCCAGGCTTGTATTCGGTGGTTATAAGTCTGGTGAAGCCAGCAAATTACAAATGGGAGGAGTTTCGCAATGAACGACTTGCATTCGATAAGCCAATTACAACGGACACTGGAAAACCTGAAGTTATCCAGTCTGAATCAACATATTCCGAAGACAAGAAAAAGCTCAAACATTGGGGATTAATTGCTAGCATCTGGGCGGCCGCGACTTTTCTAGGTCATTGGGTCCTATGGTAGGTCTGATACTCGACATTCTGAGTCGACAAGAGCTAATCAATCCACAGGCCACTTCCCATGTATGGTTCCGGGTACATTTTCGGAAAGGGATTCTTCGAAGCTTGGATCATCATTTCCATCATTTGGGTCTGGGGAACTATGCTCATTGCCGGGTTCTTCCCGATTATAGATGGATGGAGTCAGTTGAGAGCAGTATATCGTGGTCTCAAGCCGGCAAAGGATGCGCCAATTACAAGTGGCACGACTTCTCCGGAGTGATCGGAAGACAGCTTGAGTACCGGGTACTACATTATTTGCAACGAACGAGGCAATCCTCACGTGGCTTCCTTCAACGTGGCCGTGTCCCCTGTAGCTGCATCAGCGAATAGACATTCAACATAGCTAAGTGCATTCCCGTTTAGGAAGCTGGGGCCGGGTATGCGCAGGTTTATCGTCGCATTGACCGGCCATGGATCAAAGCGTCAGAGAGTTATCGCACAGATAGATCTTGATAGAGTTTCTCGTGGCGTTGCAATTGCCATTGGTGACGTGAGGCCATTTCCTAATTGGAATTCAAGATAGTCCTCATGCGGTCAAGCGCTCAACCGAGGATTCATGGCGCTCGTCTGCAGATATTTGGTGCTTCCATTCTCTCCTCGATAAAATCTTTAGCAGTCAATGTTGAGCCTGGACGCAATCGTGTTTCAACCTTGCATATACTCACTCTCTGCAATTCGTCTCTTCTCGAGCTGGTGGCTGAGCTGTCTGAGAGTTTTGGGTGGTCCGAGTAGAAGCTGTTTCATCAGCCATCGCGACCCTCCACACCACCCGGAACAATGTTCCAACTGGCTTCCATGGGCAATTCGTCATGTCCCTGAGCGAGATGTTTGGTGCTGGCGGGATATCAGCGGTAGATTCCACGGTAGTATTCTCTGTAATAGTATAGGCAATAAAAGCCGTAGTTGTTGTCGGTCGCCACTCCAAGACCCCTGCAGTTTGCACCCAGAGATCAATGGAGGGCCGCACCGTCAGGAAAGAGGACTTGTTATACCGTTTGGGGGCTTTGACAGATCCAGGATAACATGCACAGATCTGAGATGCAGTCTGCATGCGCATTGTTGAAATTTCATTAGCCGCGCTGGACTTGTTGCGCTCGACGGACGAAGCGCATAATTGCGCAAGGGAAACGGGTTTTTTGCTCTGAATCTCTGATTTCGCGCGCCAAGATGAGTGGGGAAAACGGTGCCAAGACAGCCGAGCTGCATATCTCTCGGATCGGCCAACCGAGTTGGGTGTCATCACCACCACCGCCTTTTTCTTTCATGTGAGAAGTCGGAGGCTCTGACACACTTGCAACGGGAAGATCATGCTCTGCATGGCGATTTCTCGATCGGCCAAGGTTGGTTGCATCCTGCATGGGGAATGGACATGTGCGTTTTTGAATGACAGATGGCTGCACCGTTGATATAAGTTGGAATCGCCAGTTTGTTCCCAGTTTTGTGTCATGTTTTGATCCGCGTGCTTCCATACTCTTAGAAACATCACCGCATAGCAGCATGTTACCAATCCGGATATCGACATGTTTGATGGCTTCGACGTTGTGGGCTCTGGCCATTCGAGCAGATAATCTACCCATCAACTCGACAACGGCATTGGCCGCAGTGCCGCAGTGCGGCGTACGTAAACCGGTTCACGCCTTTTCGTTCTCTTTATTTCCGATACTAATATATCATAGTATACATGCATGTTGACCAACTTGCAAGCGGCCAACTGTTTATCGACCGACTCAATCTTCCAGTCCGACTGCCTCTGCACCAATATAACCCTACAGTCCGACATAAGCACATGCGTTCAACTGAGTTGTTCGACATTAGATGAACAAAAAGGTAAGCAAATGTGAAGAAGGAAAGGAAGAAGATGTTTGCATGACTGCTTACATGTCATGGATAGAGTTATTCGACATTGAGAATCAAATATGCGCGGCATATCCCAGAGAATCCCGCGGTCACGTTGCACTGATATCGGCCATCGTCGCAATGGGCGTCTCGATACCGGTTGTGCTTGCAAGATGCGCCACCAGGCTAAAATTGACCAACAGGCTATGGCCTGATGACCACATGTCTCTTCTCAGTCTGGTATGTCTCCATCCATATCCAGATCATTGAAGTATAATCACTAATGGATGATCACTCAGGTCGCGTTGCTCGCCATTGTTTCCATTCAAATTTACAGCGTGAGCGAAGGCAGCGGTATGCATTACTGGCAAACAGACCTAGACAAGGTTCAACTCACCCGCCAGGTAAGTCGCACTACTTGAGATCATTGCAGCAACTTCTCATGCAATCCACAGTTGTTCTATGTAGCAAAGATTTTATACGTCTTTGTACAATGTACGGGGAAAATCGCCGTTCTTCTCCTCTACCAGAGGGTCTTCGACACAGGACATGGTGCCCAATGGCTGAGAAGAGCCATCAAGGTCATGATTGTATTGACATTTGCCATTGAGGGGACGTACATCTTCATCATTGCCTTTCAGTGTCTTCCTGTCGCAGCACTTTGGGACCCTTCAATCAAAGATTTCACGTGCTTGAATGCAGGTGTGGCCTTTGCAGCCGGAGCCGTTTTGAACATTGCGTCCGACTTTGTCTTGATGATCCTCCCGCTCCCCGCCCTCTGGAAGTTGCAGACAAGCAAACGGAAGCGATTTGGTGTTGCCTTGATGCTAGTCATTGCATCTCTGTAAGTACCGGACTCTACTTTTGAAGTTCCATGCACAAACTAACAAACGTTAGCGGCATCGTTGCGAGTCTTGTTCGTATCAAGTTTCTCATTGGGGGCTCTTCTGCATTTGACAGCAGCTGTAAGTGATTATATTCTATTCTTGTGACATGCGGATGCGGGCTCAGCTAATGTTTGGCCCAGTCCACAATGTAGACATATACTCTTGGAGTCTCATTGAGCTTTTGTGTGTCGTTGCATGTGGCTCGATCCCAGCACTGAGGCCACTCTTGGTTCATACAATATGTGCCATCCGATCGACCGTCTCAAGCACATTTCAGCGATCTCGAGTGTCACGACCAAGCAAGTCAAGCCCAAAGTCAGATATCGCATCGACCCCGAGATATAGCGCCGCGGTACAAAAGAAAGTTCCAAGTGACGCATACTCGTTGTCCGAATTTTCAACGACCACGAAACATTGGAAGGACGACTCAGAATCACCAGTAATCATTCAGTCACGCTCTTCTGCTCTCGTAGATCTCGAGGCAGCCAATTTTCAGGAGCATAACATGACACCATTGGCCCCCTTATCCGCTGGTGGCAGCCAAGACGATCTCATTGCCGTGGTTCCATTGAAGAAATAGAGGACACCATATACGCTTATATTTACTTTACTCATTGAATGCATGAAGATTGTGTCCGCTGTGATGTGTGAAGTGCAAAGACACGCCCAAACCCTATATTAACAGAGTCGTAATTCGTTTTCCCTCCATGGGCTCATGCCATCTAAACGCCCTCCAAATGCTCGTAACTATGCTTTACATGAATTATTCGCAAGCTATTATAATCTTGCACCTCCTCGCCATTCGCCAGCCGCGCTGACAGCAGTACCTCTGCTTCCAGTGCCAACCATACCTCCAAAGTTGTGAAGGCGCTCACCAATCAGATAGGCTTCATCTCTCACTCTTGCCCTCCAACGCTCCAGAATGGTAAAGATACCTCTGAGGAACCAGAGCATGACCCATCCGAGGGCGGCAATCGGATAAGCCATTCGGTACGCGATGATCTGCTTGTTGGCCGTCCAGGGTTCGATGATGACCAGGCCGCGGCTGAACGCAGCTTGGGCGACTAAAGGTGGAAGGGCTAGGAGGAAAACAGATGAAAGAAGACCAGGCAAGACAAAGGCCCGGGTGAGGACATTGATGTCCGGATCCATCCAGCCTCTTCGTAGGACAGCGCGGGCGGCCTGAGCTGGGCGGCCTCCCATGCGCACCAGTAGCCTTGTGCCAATCTTCAGATAGAGTAAGCCCAGCGTCCAAGATTGCACGACATTGACAGTGTGTCCGTCCGTAAGAGTATGCGCCTGGTCCGTCAAGTGTGAATACCTCCATGTCCGCAGGGGTATCATCAAGTAAAACTCCACGATCAATGACACCGCCAAGGGGAAAACGAGGAGCAGAATACTGTACGTATATGCCAACCGCGAGCCTATTCCGGCTAATCGAAGGAATTTGGCGTAGACGGCTCGATCCATGACGGAATTGGCAGAGGCAGAGACATACTCTCGAAGCTGATCCATTGTGGCTCGCGCGTGAAGCAGGAAGTACACTGTAGAGCCCAGTATATATATGCCAATGCTAAAGGCATAAATATCGTTGGTTCTGACGTGCATAGGGAGCAAGAGCTTAAACATACGCCGACCAAACACCAATGGTACAATGGTGAATGCCACGCCAGTGACGGCGGCAAACATCCAGATGAACAAAATGAATAAGAAGATGCGGGCGCGGAACCACGGTGGCACGTAAACAAATTGGTAGTTCTTGCCTGAGTAGATGTCGGGTTCCGGGAGGTGAGGTCGGCCGTCGAGTCGCGCATCACGATCAGTGACCTCGAGGAAGACGGTACGTCCCTTTGGAATCTTGACTTGATCAGATGCAGGTGCGCGCACGAACCGGCCATCGGGGACAAGCTGCCCGCTCTCGACAAGGTCCGACTTGATTTTGTCCATTTGTGCCATCTCATCTGGGGATACCCGACTAGCTGGCTTGGATTTGCCGCCTTCGAAAATACCCGACCACGTGGCAGAGGTCACTGTTCCTGTCGAATCAATTTGTAGGAACAGCCTTTGGTACCAAGGTGTATTTTGGTCAGTATCAGAAGGAAGTCGGAGGGAGCCCTCCTCGTCGATTCGACGTTCGCCAAAGAGAAACCATGTCAGGTTGAGCGTCCTGGCGCATCGACGGAACCACCATGTATACATGACATGCAGACCATCGCTCGGCTTGAAGAATTTGACTGCAAGCGGCATCAAGAAGTTATAAAACAACAAGTCGATGGGGAATTCAAGCACCGGCTCGTTGGAGGAGTAGTGGATTGGGAGGACACTGGGAATCGTCAAGGATAAGCCCCAAACCACGCCGCCGAGGCAAACAACGACGAGAGCGCCGTAGACAAAGGCAGAAAACAATATCTTGCGTAGCTGCGTGGTGACGTTCCGCTCCAACACATCACGTACCGGGTGAAACTCTGGATCGTCCGGGTCTCGAATAAAATCTATCATGGTCAGTTCCTGTGCGGTAGAAATGGGATATCATGACTTACAGAGTACACCCTTGCGCATAATCTTGCGGCACATTGATACGAATAGGGCAAAATGGAACATATAGCCCGTGCCAACGAACCAGTGCACAAACATGGATGTCAGGGGGTAGTTGTACGTAAAGAGTAGTCGGGACCTGAAACTAGTACTCTCGAAAAGAGGTAACAAGGCAAAGTCTAATAATAGACCACAGTAGAGCGGGAAGACGAGCATCTCGATACTAATGATCAAAATAACCTTCATGACGCCACTTGCTTGATTAAGCACATCAATGATTGAAGCCTCCCATTCTTGGGCAGTATTGCCACTTGAGAACGGTGTACCTCGACCGAGATAGAGACCGGCGAGAATGGACATGGAGATATAGCCACCCATTATTGCCAAAGTCCTATCTGTGCCGTTCCAGTAGGCCAGTGAAGGATCAAGTGTGCCAGCGGTCTCAGGAATGCTCAGGCTGATCATCCACGAACTTGGCCTCGTAATTGCTGTGGTCAGATTTTTTCCGAGATCAAGGGCATGAGGCGCGGCTGCGGTCAAGGTGGATTTAACGACTTGCCATTTTGGAGCATAGTTGCCTCCAAGTAAAAAGATGATGGTGCGGGTGAATGCTGATGATAGGATGCGTGTATGCGACTTGACAGTCATCAAAGCTTCGTGGCTCACAACCGAAAAATTGCGTACCTCATTCGAGCTGATGAACATTGTCTCATACACGATGCTATCCCAGATTCTGCTCACCGACTCTGACGTTAGCTCACGAGCATCAGAAGATGCAGATGCGAGGAGCAGGCGGGCCTTTTCAAGGTGAAACATCTTGGCCAGGAGGTATAGTACGTCGAAGATGAAGCTGGAGGTCCATCCGACAGCAAATAGGCAGCTATCTTGAATAAATCTTGAAACGCTGAGCATCATGCGAACGATTCTCATTGGGTTCGCGGTTACCCAGATAGCTAGCCTGCCGACATTGTAGGGGAGAAAGATGCCAAAGAAGATGGTAATGGACACCAGGAACGCACAAAAGATGGCGTTCTGGAAGAGGCCACCAATAGGACCACGCATACCGAGAAGCTCCATGACACCATCGAAATCTTCGGCATCCTCGATGGCTTCGGGGTCAATGCCAGCAGCGGCGGCGGCTTCCATGACATCGGCTGCCACTTCTTCCCCCATAATCTCATCTCTGCCGATGTCATCATCCTCTTCATCCTCGGTGTCATCATTGCGGTTGAGCTCCATGAATGGGGCGTTCTGGTCGTCGATAAAGAGCTCTAGCGCATCTTGGCCATTCGCTTCTGCACCGGCATCAATATCTCCCCACATGAAGTCAGCTACTCTCGCTACAAGGCCAGCCGGTGGCTGAACGACTTCCTGTTCCGGTGTGGCGTCTGGTAGATCGGTAGCTTCTTGCTGGATTGGCGGTGCCTCGGGCGCTTCCACATTTACCCACGAGCTGGATTGACTTGAATGGTCTGCAGCATTGTCGCTGACATGTGCGTCGGGCATCCCGTTACTAGATTCGTGGGTCGGACCTTGTTGCATGTTGAATATGTCTGTGATTGCAGCCTCGAATGTTGGTACCTCTCCAGGCTGCTCATCTGTGTTGGCTTCGGAGGTCGACAGTGCTGCAAAGGACCAGCTATTGTTGGCCAATGGGTGAATTTTATCGTGAAGTGGAGGACCGTCTGATACAGCACGAGGCCTGTTCAACGGTGACAAGTGTACAGAATCAATCTCTAATAACTCATCACCGGTGCTAGATCCGGGGCTCGTGGAGATTGGCCACTGTCGGATGTCCTCCACCAGCGAAAGTGATGGGATCTCGTTGTCTTCATCAACGGCCCTTTGCTTGCCCTTGTTTGAACCATTTGCAGAGTCCTGAGAGTCAGTTTGGGTGTTACCGAGAGCCTGCGCGGGAACCGAGAATCGCCCAATATCAGTGTCTAGGCGATTAAATGCCGTGCTAGATGCAGTCTGGTTCCGAAATGGGGCGCTCGAACTGGAAGGAAGCGGAGCTCCTTCAACAGAGGCAGCGCTGCTACTGGAACTGCTCTCTGACAGTGTCATGGCTCGTGTTGCATTGACCCAGTATGACAGTCTCTCTTCTAGGCCCTCATCGCGTATCATGCGCAAAATCTTCTCCGGATCTCCATTGGCTTGTCGGTAAATCCGCAAATACTGGTTAACCGTAGTCTGCGACTCCTCGTCCATATTCTCCAGCAAAAACCGATCCCGAGCACCGCTGTCCAATGGGGCTCGAGGTGGCATGAGGGGAGTGGCCGGATGGCTCGTCACTGGGCCACCGATTTCATCTTCGACTGTATCTCGTCGTACGATTCGCCTTCTAAACTCGGCAATGGGTCTTTGACGAGGCTGCGGCTCCTCTGGCATCATGTCCGTGTCCCGTTCTGCAGCTTCCCCATCCTGGGCGACCATTGACTCGTCATCGCGGAAAGCAATGTCAGCATTACCCAGAGGATCCGGCCCCATGGCCATCTCCACTGCGACTTGTGCTCGGGGTACCTGTGCTTGCTGGGCTTCCTGGAACCCGTCAGGGTTGTCCATTTGAGCGGCGAAGGCGGCACGCATGTTGATCTCGGGCTGTTGTTGCACCACATAGTCTCTAACCAGGATGATCAAGATGAAACATACTATGACCAAGATTGTAATGATTTGGCCTTCGAAGATACGAATAACAATTCCGTTGATTGTTGGATGGGGCGTGAGATTCTTCAGGAAGCTGACCTCACTCAGCAGGGTTTCGTGCTGTGGTAGGTTCCATGATATCGCTGAGCCATTGACTGACTTGCTCCAGCTTCTCTCCGCCGAGAGTGCGCTTCCGCCGAATAGGAGACGTGTTACGGACGTAGTAAATGACTTGATGCCACTGACATTGAGGTGAAGAGAGGAAGCTGCAGCCTGGAGGAGATCGGGCATTTGTTCTGCAATGTGTCTCTTGTTGGCTGCCGTCGTCGTCGCTGGAAAGAGAGGGCCCGAGGGACAAGAGTTGGTGGTGAGGCCCTGAGTAGCCATAGTGAACGCGACCAGATTGAGATGTGCCATGGTTGTATTCGAATTCGGGCTCATGGATAGCTGGTTCGTCGGGCCGAAACCTTCGTCACTGATCCAAAATAAGAAGGACCAAACCCACCTCATCAAGTACGGGAGGCAGCCGAGCCATACGCTGATGACTAGAGCAGCTCTCAGCCAGACGAGAATATTCCGTAGCAGATATGTGGCCATGTGACTGGCGAAGACGTAAAGGGGCAGACTCTTTGGCATGCTGGGCGAGTAGAGCTTGGTAAACCGGAACGGGGTTTTGCACAGTTCGCAATGTTTCTTCTGAGAATGCGACAACCATTCCATCAAGCAGTCCTGGTGGACATACTTGATACTACCGCTGCATTTGCAAGGGTAGAAGAGAGGTTCGCTCGAGGTTCCCTCGCCTCGACATATCCGGCACGTGTCGACATCTCCTGCTACCGACTCGGCGGCGTTTGCGCTTGGGACTGATGCTTGGTCGCCAGCTCTGGCGGGTTCGGGGCCTACACCAACCATGTCATCGGGATGTGCTGTCGAGGTGCGTCGGCGCATGATGGTGTTGGGAAACTCGGCCGGATCAGGCTGAACATCAGCGGCGTAGTGATCCATGGTCAGAGTTTAGGGCGTTTAGTCGAGAATGCGATTCGATTTGTTTTGTAGAGTTTGCTCAAGGACGCCCCGAGGGCCACATCAGAAGCAGCGTGACCATGAGTTGGGAGGAAACAGAATTAAAGATGCGAAAGCCTTTCAAAACTTGTAACGAAGAAAGATGATGGGTCGATGACCTTGACGAGGACTTGGACCTGGAGCATTGATGCTCTAAGGTACGTTGAGCCGCAGGCGTCAGTGTGTCTGGCTTACTGGCGTCGGAACTTGTTCAGGCTTAGAAATGCGCTTAATTGACTGACGCCCTGCTGTGCCACTCAAAGCTTAATGAACTCGGCGCCGACCACCGACACTGAAAGGCGGGGACCGCGGAGCACATTTAGGTACCTAGTACTTCATATTAACGGGAGCAGCAGAGACGCCAAACATGAAGGGACATTGTCTGCCACTGTTGCTGCGTTATGACCCAAAGTCGCCTTGCCGTACAACATTTTCTCTTGGAGCAAAATACAGTATCGAACTGACATCATGCCAGAATTAGACATGTTAAAGCCAGCTATGCTCGCGCCCGCACTCTGCCACTTTAGTTAATCAGTACCACCCTTGTACTGGTAGGAAAGAACCTTGGTGCATCTCAGCGGCGTTCTACAGGTAGGTAGTGTATACATACTTTTCTGGCTCTTTTCATCAATGTTTAAGATCATCTAGCCGGATATTGTACAGTACTACCAATATTCGCAAATCGATTCACTGGGGATTTTATTTTTCTGGGAAAGAAGGCACAGGGCAATGTGGAACTATTCTTATCAATTGCCTGTGCACCCAGTAGGTAGGATAGGTAGGTGGACAGAATATGGCTAAAGAGTGCTGGCGAATAGTATTCGTGATGAGCTATCAAACTCGCCTACTGGAAGATCCCAAGCAGAGGATTCGACACTTGGTCAAAAACGCAAGTCTGAATCCAGCGAACGTGCCAGTGATACTTACTAAGTTAGAGGCACCCGACATGCTGTTCCACACTTACAAAAGACACCGTGCAATGCTTACTTAGATGGGAGATACTTGAATATGCGAGTCGCTGACGATGAACGTCGCAACATGGGTGAAGAAACGCCAATACTGATGCAATCACGATCACTTAATTCCGTGGCCGCACACCAAGCAGCCAAAAGCATTTCTTGCGAACAAATGATAGGCTGACTTATAAAAACCTACCTATATCATGCATATTTAACTTGGACCTACATGCGAAGGCAAGCCAATACAAGGCTGCTTCAAGTCAGCTATAAGAGCTACTTGATGTAAAATTGGGGAGCCGCATAGGTAAGTTCATAGAGGGAGAGTGAAGCCATCGCCCAGGCCCTCGCAGAATAATGTCCAGCCAGAGCCCAGATGATTGGTGCTCAGCGCATGGTTCATTACCGTGGGTCACGTACATATTCCCCCGGATTAATTGGGCCTACCATGAAAGTGGATCGTCTCGATGTCGTGATCTATATCTCCCTTGACACGACCGACTGACCGCGAGATGACGACCTGCGTCTAGCTGACACACTCAATTCTCCTCGTAGCAGGCTTGATCGAGGCTTTATCATGTCCAGTGCGTCTCAAGGAAGCAAGATCAAGCCACAAGTCAAATGGCTAGATGTCTCGCAAGGCTCCCTTGGTCTTGAAAATGGAGCATCATTTGGCATGCCCTGGCCCAGAGGCCTCTACCAGCCAGGACAAAGGTTTGCCATAGAAGGCAATGGCCAACAGTGGTCCCTCGACTCGAGGGAGTTGGCACTCTGGTCGGACGGATCACTCAAGTGGACAGTTCACTCGGTCAGCGGCCAAGTCGAGTACTGCGAGAAGTATGCGATAAAAGCAAGCACTGAGGAAGCCCGCGCTGGGATTCCTTTACGTACAGTCGAAGATGAAATTGAGCTTTCGAATATCCTGGGGCTTCGCATTAAATTTGCGGCTCCTGGGAATTCGTGTCTCTTCAAAGAGGTGTCGATGAACAACAATATCATCTGCTCAGGTGCCACAATCATCGCCTCCATCAACCATAAAGTATTCTTCACAACGGTGAGGGAAATTCAAGTGGAAGAGACAACTTTTAGCAGAGTAGTGATCAAGGTCTCCGGAAACGTGACCTCGGCTCAGGGCCAAACACAACTGCCGTTTGATGTGCGAGTGTACATGTACTCACATTCTCCAACGTTAAAGATTGTTCATTCCTTCATCCACGACCTCGATTCGGACAGTCCATTGACCTCGCTTGGGCTTCGTTTCTCTGTCTCATTCCAAAGTACCGAACTATACAATCGACATGTCCGGCTTGGTGGGTCGGAGGGCGGAACGCTGAGGGAAGAAGTACAAGGACTCTCGGGGCTCAGGTTCGGTCCCTGCCGGCAGCACATGATTGACCAGACGAGTGGAACGGCCGTTACTCTGAGGGAGACGGAATGGGAGAAAACCGAGCTTGGCCGTGGATTGACATACGTTCCATCGTGGAACGACTACACACTCTCTCAACTGTCATCAGATGGTTTTACCATAAAGAAACGGACAAGGAAAGGATGCTCTTGGGTAAAAGTTGCTGGAGGTAGCAGAGCTGATGGGACAGCTTTTATAGGGTCGGCCAAGTGTGGAGGTTTGGCTGTCGGTATGGCTGATTTTTGGGAGCGATATCCAACACAGATTGATCTTGGTAATCTTACGGCGGAAACGGGTTCGGTGACTATTTGGCTGTACTCACCGCTCGCAGAGCCTCTGGAGACTGCCCCCTATCATGACGGGCTCGGCTTGGATACCTACGAAAAACAGCTGGAGGCGCTCAACGTCACATATGAAGACTACGAACCAGATTTTGCGTCAGCAAATGGCATAGCGCGGACCAATGTTTTGTTTGTCAAACTGTTTGAAGCGATTCCATCAAATACTCATTTCAGTCACTTCTCCTCATTTGTCAGAAATATGCCTCGCCTCGTTGTCGACTTGGAGTATATGCACTCGACAGAAGTATTTCACGGGTGTTGGGCACCAGATTATCGGCTACAGGGGCGCAACCCCTACGGAAGCGAAGTGGAAATTGAGGGGAATCTTGAGCTCCTGTTTGACTTCTACAAAGGTCAAGTGGAGCAGCATAGGTGGTTTGGATTCTGGGATCATGGCGATGTGCAACACACCTTTGATCCCTTACGACATGCTTGGAAGTACGATGTTGGAGGTTTTGCCTGGGACAATTCCGAACTCTCTACGGATCTGTGGCTATGGATGTATTACCTCCATACCGGCCGAGCAGATGTGTTCAGGATGGCCGAGGCAATGACTAGACATACAGGCGAGGTAGATGTGTATCACTGTGGAAGGTTCAAAGGTTTTGGTACGCGACATGGTGTCCAACATTGGAGTGATAGCTCCAAGCAGCTGAGGATTTCCAACGCAATGTATCGAAGGATATACTACTACCTCACGGGCGATGAGCGGGCGGGAGACCTGATCGCAGAGCTTCAAGATTGTCAATTTGCTCTTCTTAGCTTAGACTCGCATAGAAAGGTACAGAAGCACTCGGATATACCAGACGGGTTTGCCATGGCAAATATTGGGCTCGACTGTGGGCCGGTTTCAGCTGCCTGGCTAAGCGCATGGGAAAGAAGAAGCACTGGATGGGAAAAGGCAAGGACGTTATTGCTGAATATGCTACAAGGTATATCCCGCCTGACACATGGCATTGGAAACAATGCCATGCTGTTGAACCCTGCGACAGGCGAAGTTAGGGAATGCACTTCGCCGACGCCTCCATATACCATCTCCCATCTGTCAATGCTCTTTGGCTTTCCAGAGATCTTTGCCGAGCTGATTCACTACGCACGGCACGAGCACCCGGAGATCGTGCAACAGTTCTTGAAAGTATGGCTGCAATATTGCCGTGCCTACAATGGAGGCCGTCATGTGCAACTGGAAGAGTTTGGCTTTGAGTTCCCCACTTCGGCCGGTTGGAATCAGAGTCATTCCACGATTACTGCCTTTGCAGCAGTTGAACAGGAAGACGACCAACTCGCCCAGGCTGCATGGGACCAGTTCTTCAACTGTAAAGCATCAGGGAACAACAGTGGCGGTTATGATAGAAGCCATGACTGGACCATCCTCGCGGCTGCCGGGCCAGAATATTTCAACCCTGGACAAGAGGCGCCGTGGATCACGACAAACGAAGCAGCTCGGTACGGGGTATCCGCGATTTTCAATTTGGCAAATATTGGGACTTATTTGCAAGACACACAGTGCGGAGAATTGGATATTGTTGATTGTCAAACTACATTGAGGCGGATAGAGTCGTCATAGAGCATCAATTCTTGCATTCTCTGCGAGTGTCCATTGTCGTAAAGCGAAATGACTATTGAATGCGCCCAAACAAAGAAACCTCCACCCCACATAAAAAAAGTGCATGTTCAAATCCATTCTTGGATATGTTTCGAGACTTGTGGTACATGATTAGGGAGAGAGAAAAATGCAAAGTTAGCAGCGCTTTGGGTATATGTGCCTGATCAAGCGTGAAAAGAGCGATACAAAGCAAGAGAATTCTGTCATACAGCACCAGCACATCTACCTATCCTCCACCCATCTGATCGTTGCCCGATTTCGTTACTCATAAATCCGTTTGGTTTCATTCGCCCACTGGATGTCTTTTTACAGCTCGTCACGAAGGTTCTCAACATGCTCCTTGATGTTTTCTGTCGCAGCGGAGAAAGTCTCGGCGGCGGCATGAGCTGCCGAGGCGGCAGAGTCTGTGACTTCACTAGCAACGCTGACAGCCGTGGAACTCACGACGCCATATACATCTGCCAGGCGAGAGTAGACAGACTCTGAAAACGTTGGCTCCTTCCCGACGACAAGTTCAGAGACGATGGAGGCGACAACGGAATACTGCGCCGCGGCTGCTGAGGAGGCTGATGCCGCCGAGTCCGCGGCAAACTCCCCAGCAGAGGATGCATAATCTGCAGCGGCATCAGTGGCAGACGCAGCATACTCTCCAGCCTGAGAAGCATAGTCGGCGGCCAAGTCGGTGGCCGACGCAGCATACTCGCCCGCCTGGGATGCGTAATCACCAGCAGCAGCGTAGACATCCTCGTACCATGGAGTTGGTGTGGGAGCTCCGTAAACTTGAGAGCTAACCTGGCTGAGGAGGTAGTCCCAGTTCTCCGCAATCGAATCTCCTGCATCAGAAACAGCGTCACTGACCGAAGAAACCACCGATGCAGCAGCGTCATTGGCAGCGGCGGCAGCTGATGAAGCGGAATCGCCTGCAGCGGAAACGACGGAGCCGGCAGACTCGGAGGCCACAGAGGCAATAGAGTGAGCTGATTCCTGGAGATTGGTGGGTGTCGGCGTGGCGGTCAAAGAGCTCACGGCAGAAGATGCACCAGCCAGGAACTCTGAGTAGCGGGCGTGAGCAACACCGAGACCGGCATAATAGTTGTGCTTTGCCTGATCCAACATCTTTTGGCCACGCTCGGCAGCTGTGCTCGGTGTGGGCTCGGCAAGGCCGATGGCGACCTTTGCGCTTTCATACTGCTCGCCTGCCCAGTTAACCGAGTCTTGAAGGTTTTGCTGCGCAATCGACTGGACGCGCTCCCAATCGACACTGGGGACTGTGGGCAGTTCAGGCACCCAGTTGGTGGTCGGTGTTCCGTAAACTCCCTCGGACGCTGCAGTCAGCGCCTCATTGAGTCGAGAATTGGCCACGCCAAGGGCGCCAAAGTACGCACTCGATGCCGAGGTGAAGAGCTCTTCGTGCACCGGCTTGGGTTCACCACTAATCTGGACCGAGACAGCAGACATGGCGCGAGAATACTGGTTGGCAGCCTCTGCAATGGCGGCAGTGTAGGCAGATTGAGCAGCAGATGTGATGCTGTGAGGAATATCAGACTGGACCTTGGAAGCAGCACTGGAGATGGAAGAGCCAATATCATCGGTATCAATGTCCAGAATAGGTTGACGCGTGGGTACAGACTGAGCAGCAGCTCCAAAAAGGGCCGACTTGATGCTGGTTGTAGACGAAGCAGGGGGAGGTGTAGGCTCTTCCGGGGAGGCAACGATGGTTTCCTCAATCTGCTCCGGCCCGTCCACGGGATCGGACGACGGCAATGGCTCGATTGGTGCTGCTGCGGTTTCGGTATTATCCTTGGCGATGGGCTTTTGAGCCTCTTCCGACTCAAATGCCACATCTGTAGCAGCATGCGTGGGCTCCTCGACCAGACTCTCCAGGGGTGGCACGGCAGAGGTCTCAACATCTTCTACCTCGGACAGAGATATCGTAGCAGTCACTGTCTCGTCTACCGACAGAGTCGTGGTAGATGTACTCTGAGAAACCACGTCCGCAGCGTCACCCTTTAGGGACTCGCCGGCAGCCTCGACGCTCTCGCCAATGTCATTGGCAATGGAATGGACGGCATCCTGGACACCGGCTGCAGCATCCTTGAGCGCCTGCGCAGCTTCGGCGGCTTTTCTCTGAACAGCTTCAGCGGCCAGCTTCATGGACGAGGCATCAAAGTCGTCGGTGTAGTCACCAGCAAGGGCTTTCCAGGCAGCAACCTGCTTCAAGCCAGCGAGTTGCTGAGCTGCCTCTGCGGCGATGGCCATGCCCTGACTTTCAACGTCGTTGCCAGCATTTTGGGCGTCCTTCAGGCCCGGGTGAGTGATGACAAGCTGCTTCAAATCTTCAACCCACTCGTCGAATTTCGCACGGAGCTCATGGAACTTTTGCCAATGCTTGTATGTGACACCATCCATCCATGCCCACTTCATGCCGATCCTCTGCAGAGCCAAGTCGCGAATACTCTCAAGGATGTGGACGTGGTCTTGCGCGGCCTGGGTCACGGCAACCTCAATCTGCTGCTCATAGTTCTCGCGCCATGTGCGAATCTTTTGAGCATTATCCTTAATTTTTAGCCCAGCGCTTCTCACTGCCGCGACCACTTCTTGTTCAAACTGGTCTGGGTCTCCATTGTCCTTGTGCTGCTCCAAAATTGACAAAATAGTCGTCTTGAGTTCGGCAATCTCAGCAGTGACAGTAGTGTTCAGCTCAGCTACAAGAGGCAACCCTTTGCCCAAGGCCTCTTCTTGAATGATTTCGTCGGCAAGAGCCTCGATACGTTCCTCGATCTCAGCAGCGCCCTCGTCTGCGGCCTTGGTGAACTTGCCCTGCCAGAGTTCAAGATCATCAGCCACTTCCTTGGCGGCCTTGTCCTTGATTTCTTGCTTTGAGAGAGTGACGGGTGTCTCTTCAACGCTGGCCTCGGCTGTGGCAGACGAAGCTTCGGGTTCTGGCTCGGCTACTGTTGAGGACTGAGTAGGCTCGGGTTGGATAGTAGTGTCGGCGGATACGGCGGTCGACGTAATCGAGGCAGAGGGCTTGGTGAAGGTCGATTTGGCAGCCTGAATGGCGGCACTACATTTTCATTTAGTAAAATAGGTCAACGAAACTGACAAATCAACACTTACGAATAAGCGTCTTCGATGGCTCCAGCCTTGGGCTTGATATCCTTGTAACGACCGAGACGGTCCACGATACGAAGCAGTTGAGGTTCGACTTTGACGGCATAGACGTCTCTAACATGGGGCCAAACAGTAGAGTCCAGAAACACGTAGGTCTTGTTCCAGGCCCACAGAGCTGAGGGAACGGCAGTGCTAGTGGTGAAAGATGAGGCACGGTTGTACCCTTGTAGAGCGTATGGCTGCACGAACAGATAGGAAGGGAGGACAACGTCGTGGTATGTCTGGAGCGCATTTGTCTTGGCAATGTCATAGTATGGTGTAATTGCATCAGAAGCCTTGCTGACATGCGGAGCAACGACCTGATCGTACTGGGTTTTTGCGAGACCTTGATACTTGACGAGTTGGGGTTGGACGTTTGTTTCCCATTGTATGGTACCAAGCTCGCGCGCCTTTTGAAGCTGGGGGCCACCATATTTGACCGCATACGTGCGAGAAGGTGCAATCACGACGCGGTCAACAGTGTCGTAATACGGTCTGGCGAGATCCACGTAAGGGGCAGCATAGGCATCATAGTACGGAGTCAGATGCGGTGACACGACCTGCTTGGTCTGGAAGTATGGTTTGCAAATCTTGGGCACGCCCTCAGTGCAAGCATCCAAAGTTGCTGGACACCGGAACAGAATGGTGAGGATGGAGTACCATATGGATAAGCGGGCGGCGATGCTGAAAAGCCGACCCAAAAAGCTGCGTCTTGGCTTTGTAGGCGGTGTTTTACGTCTGGGCGCGATGCTGTGGCCATTAATACCACCATTAATGCCACTGCTGACACCAGTCGTGCCGTTCATCTTCTTGCCATTGAGAGACCCATTCGTCTGGCCGTTGACGTGACCGCTCATCTCGGTGGCCGTACCAAAGTGGCGGCGGTGGACGTTGTATGCTTTGTTTTTCTCTCGACGTCGTTTCGATATTTCCGCACCAGATGAGGAAAGTGCTGAAGCAAGCTTTTTCTGGCTGGCAAATGTCGTGCTCCAGAGAGGAGATAAGGCAAGTGATGTAGGTAGCCCGTGGATGAAAAAGCTCGAGCTGGTTGCCGCTATGTAACTGAAAGTTGGAAGCTCGTGCTCTGAAGTTGGCGCAATCAGAAGCTAGAAGCTTGGATGACGCTAATGGCTGAACTGGCCTGGGCCGAGTAGGAGCTGGTACTGCTGGGCGGGAGTTTTAATTCGGTGGATCTTTGTTGATCAAGATGATCGAGTGCATGCACTGCGATTTGATTGGCCTCTGTGATACCGCGCAGGCTTTTCAAATAGAGAGATAAACATTAGATGAGAAAACAAGCCAAGTGCAAAAAAACAGGACACGATTTTGGTAGAAATGTCATATGATGCAGGGAGGAGGCCAGTAGCTGTGCTCCGTATTCTGTAGAAATTGCGGGCTGAAAGTTAGAGTACGCATCTCGCAGGCAAAGGTGGTCGGACTGAAGCTTGATCGACACCCCGTCAACCCGTCCCATCTGCATCACAACATCCACATCCACCACTATGAGAACAATGATCATAATTATCCGACTAAATATTATCTAGTCAGGGTCACGTTGGGTAGTTAAACATCTAAGGTCACTCTCGAGGTATAGAATTCGAGTAGGAAGTCGATGGCTTTCAAGGTTATCAACGTCCAAAATACAGAGACTCTTATCGCTAGAGATGTTCCAAATTTTGAACCCCCGAGGAAAAAAAAAAACCAAGGAATGACGCAGGGGTCCTCAGAGGCTGATGGCTGGCTGCAATCAGCAACACGCGCTGGTAGTGTAACGGAGATACAGGGAAAACAGGCCTATCATGTCGCAGTTTCTGAAGAGAAGGTTTGATATTCCCAATTAGCGGGGTACAAAACCCCGTGCAACACAGCAATCCAACCATCCAATCCCTAATGTAGGTGCGAAAGGGTAGGTAGCCCATCTTCTAGCCATCAGCCATCCGGATGGGCATGTTAGCCCAGTAATAAATCCGAACTTCAGATCGCATCTACAGCTCACCATGAAGATACAATCTATTCAATATCCCGTGGACCCTATAATTGATCGGAGGAACCTACCACACCTGAATGTATACATGCTCCCACATTATTTGAGCGCGCCCAAAAGGTGAAGGAAAAACAAAAATGCCCCAGCTCATTGTTACTGTCTGCAATTTGCCTGCTCAAAGTACTTTCATAGGGACATTTGTATCTCGTCGCGCATCGTCCACAATGAGGAACGATTGAACGTCGTGTTTGGGAACGGCTAGCGCAATTTGTCGCTTCACGTCGACGTCATTCATAATATGGTTTTGACCTTTTCAGCTGCATTATGAGCGCTGCCAAGAACTCGATCGAATCAAGGAAGTTACCACAACATTGGACGCTGGCGCAGTTATCAACATGATTTGCCTCAATACAATGCAATCTCTTGATCTATCAGACGAAAGCTTATTGAGGGACGGAAAAAAAAAAAGGAATGCTTTCCTGGCCATTATGGTATCAACACTTACCAATCGTTGACCAAGAGGCAAAAGTTTGCCCTGTATCACAGGCTTCAGCCTCTGTTCTCTGTACATAGCCTTGAATTCGTGGAAGAATAGTTCTAACCTAGATGGGTACGTCTAGGCTAGAGATGGATGCCGGGTATGGAACAATTGATACGTTTGCCTCTTTCATTCATACCCTAAGTATTCACATAAATTCCCGACCCAATTGCGACAACTTCCTTACGCGACTTTGACGGTTGCAGTCATGATGTTGGCAAGCCTTGAGGTGCAAACTGCCGAGATGCCATTGTCGGGTACGGGAGTATTGTAAATACCAAAATATGCCATCTCAACTGGTAGCGAGAGATGGGGTAATTCGAGCAAGAAATCTCATCCAATTGCAAGCGTATGCTAAATCGGTGGTCAAGCATGATCCTTTTAACGGAGGACCCGGGTCAAGCCGGCATGCTTGGCCTTGTGATTGATGTGTTACGAGAAGCCATTGTGTTCATCCCACGCTGTATGACCCGGCAGATCTCGAGCGCCGAGCCCCCATCGCTGGGGTGTTCTACGAATGCCTGTTGATCAATTCTTGGCAATTGCTTGAATGCGCCTCCTCAAATTGATCTCGTGTGTTATGCTTGCGGCTCAACTTCAATTCTCTCCAAGACTTTATTGGCCTATACAATGCTAGCAATTCCATCGTTAGGAATGGTGAACTCAAAAGAACTAAAGCTGTTAGCAAACCAAATTAACAATTGCATGCACTCCAGATCCTTTTCTCCAGACTCTCCAGTTCAAGGAACAGATGAGGCCACTCTTTTACTATGGGGCTGTTGCAACCGGACCGATTGTATTTTTTGTCACGCAACCAACGGTCTTGAACGGTGTGTGCTCTTCTCGCCATACTTCGGCCCTGGGGTCTATTCCGTAGCATCATGAAATGGATGACTGGATGGAAAGGGCTGCTTGGAGAAAAGAAATAGTTAATGGTTTGTCCATGATATCATGATAATATGTCTTTTCAGTCAGTAAGCAGTGGCAAACTTAAAGTCACTCTAAAAGAATGATTCCCCAGATTTTCGGCAGCGGATATACACACCGCGTCCGTGGTGTAGTGCTTATTAGGATCTAGGACAGGGTGACAGAGATTTCAAAAACCCAATTGCTGCATCGAGTCAGTCATTATCACACTCGACAAGTTCCACACCGTCCATTCGAGGGATGACAAACAACGATCCTAGGACATGAGCGATAATGCCCATGATGGAGTTGTCTGATTTGAAGATACCCATATCATGAGTATATCCCTCACTACCCTGAACAATCAACCGCGAACCGCGACCTCCAGGCCATTTAATCTCACACGGCAGGTCAAAAGTGACTCCGCTGCCCATGGGCATTCCAATTCAGCCTTGTATCCACTCCACTATCCGGGGATCTAAAAGCGGATAGCTGCGTCATAGTGGATATGGAGGAGTCGGGGCCCCGGGTGTTGTAGACTGCAAAGTGGTTTTTCTTTTGGCACAACGGTGCCGAAGAATCGCAAATCCACAAGCACTAGTCAAGTAGTACAGCTTCTTGCTGGGTCGCCATCTGCCTCGAGTATCCATTTTGTCAATCAGAGCGTACCTAGGATGCCAATCGCCGTGGTTTCGGTCTTACTGGAAGTCTCGGTAGAGTGCTTAGTTCGAGGCGCGCAGATTTCAGATAGGTAATGGGCAAGACTAGAGGTGAGACGTTCATGACAATGCAGCGCGGATATGCGCCCATTACCGCGAGTACGAGTCCCCTGCGTCAGCCCAAAGGTTGCTTTCCAAGTACAATTACATCATTCCGGGTCGTGAGACCATAATCAGGATGCATGGTCCCAGCATGGAGGTGGAACCAAGGCCATGGTGCATCGTCCCCAGAAACTTTTCTCCTTGCCACGCTAGATTGAGTAGAGGAAACTTCACTGGACTTTTGGGCAGTACATATTCCCGCCAATTCCCACAACATTTGACTCGGACGATCTTCTTTCCAAGATTATCGGGTGAATGATTGTGGGCTTTGATTTGGTCCCGGTCCTGCCAGTCGAGTATAGTCTCTTTACCACCCGTTCTCCCTCTCCGCCAGGACAACTATACAAAGAACCATGGCCGAGCTAAATGAGAAGCCACAGGTCGACACAGACCAGTCGTCAAACGGCAACGGTCATCGACATGGTTTGAAGCCCGCCAACGAAACTGTTGCAGCCCGCAACGAACGAAAAGAAAAAGATGCCATCGCCGATGGCAAGCGCGAACTCAAAGAGGAGGACTGCGAAGACCAGTTGGGATTTGCCTTCCCAGCGTGGTACAAGTGGTGGATTCTCACTGTCATTTTCCTGGTTCAGACTTCGATGAACTTCAACACTTCTCTATATTCCAACGGATTGGCCGGTATTTCGGAGCACTTTAATGTCAGCGAGCAGGCTGCTCGTGTAGGTGCCGCCATCTTCCTGGTCTTTTATGCCTTTGGCTGTGAGCTGTGGGCACCCTGGTCAGAGGAGTTTGGTCGCAAGCCGGTTCTTCAGCTATCACTCTTCTTGGTCAACATCTGGTGTTTGCCCGTTGCTTTGGCCCCCAACTTTGGCAGTCTTTTGGTCGGACGCGCCCTAGGTGGACTGTCATCAGCTGGTGGTAGTGTCACTCTTGGTATGATTGCCGACCTGTTCGATTCGGATCGTCAACAGTATGCTGTGGCATTTATCGTCTTTTCCTCTGTTGGCGGCTCCATCCTTGGCCCCATTATTGGTGGTTTTGTTGAGCAGTACCTTGCTTGGCAATGGGCCATCTGGATCCAGCTCATCTTTGGTGGATTTGTCCAGATCCTCCATCTGCTCACAGTCCCGGAAACCAGAACGACTATCATGTTGGACAATATTGCCAAGAAGCGAAGAAAGTCTGGAATCGACCCCAATATATATGGGCCCAATGAGATTGAATCTTTCTGGGACCGTTTCACAGTCAAGGAGTTGATTCACACCTGGCTACGACCCTTCCGCATGTTTTTGACCGAGCCGATCGTCCTCACTCTGTCGCTCCTCTCTGGTTTCGCCGATGCGCTGATCTTCATGATGATTCAGTCGTTTGCTTTGGTCTACAAGCAGTGGGATTTCAATGCATACCAGATTGGTCTGGCCTTTATTCCCATTGGTTTGGGCTATGTCATTGCTTGGTTGTCGTTCATTCCCGCCATCAAGCGTAACAAGGCTGCGCGTGCGAGAAACCCAGAAGACGAGCACGCGCAGTACGAAGACCGCTTGAAATGGCTTCTTTTCACCGCGCCTTGTCTACCCATTGGCTTGATTATCTTTGCTTGGACAAGTTCTGGCCCGCCGCTGCACTGGATTGGCACCATGTTTGGATCTTGTATTATTGGCATTGCCAACTATGCCATTTACATGGCCACCATTGACTACATGATTTGTGCCTATGGCCCATACTCGGCATCAGCGACTGGAGGTAATGGATGGGCTCGAGATTTCCTGGCTGGTGTCTTGACAGTTCCTGCGACCCCATTTTACTCCAACATTGGCGCCGAGAAAGGTCGGAATCTGGAGTATGCTTCGACCATCCTCTTTTGTATTTCCGTCTTGCTGGTGACAGCCGTCTATGTTATTTATTGGAAGGGTCCTGCATTGCGCAAGCGCTCACCCTTTGCTCAGACGCTTGCATCTGGCGCTACGGAGGAAGGTGGACGTCGTCTGAGTCTTGTCCGCACCCCTTCAAATGTCAAGAAGCCCGGCCCAGGATCGAGGCGCAGTTCGTATGCTGCCAGCAATCGAGCAGCTGATCGAAGCGCCAGTCGTAATGCCAGCAGAAATGCCAGCCGTGCCAACAGCTTTGAGGGCACTTCGTCATCACAGAACCAAACTCCGGGTGCAGCCACACCAACAGTCCATCCTTCTCGACCAGTTGCTCTCGGTGATCGATTTGGTCCTGGTTCAAGGCGTAGCTCATACTACTCTAGCAAGAACGCCGCTAGCCGGAATGCTAGTAGGAATGCAAGCCGAAACGCGAGTCGAGATAACAGTCGGAGGAACAGTCTGGAAGATCCGACCACAATTCCTTCGGGTCACGGGCATCCATTGAACGATCGTTCGGTTCATTTGTCTACAATCCCGTCGGTCCAGCAATGATACTCCAAACAGGCATGTGAGTGGCAAGGGAACATTGTTTAATTAAAATGACGCAAAACCATCATTCATGATAGCATAGCATTTGGAGGAGTTTGTTGGGGAAAAGATACCCCGACCGTTGTGCTTGATAGATATTTACACTATTGATCTTCACTGTTTATTTCACAAAACCTTATTCTCCAAGTCCTCATGATATCTCGTGTGAGTGGCTAGATTGGTCCGAGTCGCACTTTTTTACACCACGACATGCGTGCGGGGATTGCGCAAAAGGATAGGAAAGCTGCATACCCGCTGGCGTCATGCCATGGTGGCATTGGTGGCGTGTAGGTCGGCAGATGAGAATACTATCTTGATTGGTTCTGCATCCATCACTTGTCGTGTATGTCTGATATGATATAGCAATGGCGCATGAATACTCGCTATTTGAGTAGGACAACTCGCCCTCACCCTTCGCTGACTATGGCGAGTTGTTTACACAGTGACATTTCGACTCTGTACGTTTTTTTCCTCCCTCGAAATGTCTCTGCTGAGTTACATCGAGTTCTCGTCATTTTCTTTATTTATGTCCGTATTAGCAGCTTGCGCAGCAGTATTGTTCACCCGGCTATTCTGTAATATTTACTTTCATCCATTGTCGGAGTTTTCTGGGCCTTGGTATGCTGCAGCAACGTCATTGACAGACGCAGTAATTTCTCTTCGTAAAGGAGAGCCTGAGTGGTTACTCGATTTGACCAAGAAGTATGGGAGTATGTGAGTTTCAGACATAAGAGGCAGAGCATATCTGACAAATTCCACGATAGCTGATAAACCGATTCGAGTCGCACCTACCATGTTGCTCTTCCCTCGGCCTTCGGCACTAAAGGACATATACGGTGACCCTTCAATGAACCTGAAGTCGGAATTATATGGAACTGGCGCTCTCGGTCCTCCAGCCCTCTTCAGTACTCGCGATGGAAAGACTCATCAATTGTTGCGCAAGGCCCTGGGTGGAAGTCAGGTATGTAATTCAAGAATAGAAAGAACCTTCGCAGCAACTAAACTATAAGTGGTCAATCGGCTTCTTGAAAAAGACCTGGGAAGACCGAATCGACGATCAGGTCAATCTCTTTGTGGAACAAATGGCCAAGCTGGCCGACGGTTGTCGTGATATAGTGCTATCCGACAAGGTCGCGTGAGTTGATCGGTCTTGTTCGAGTGACATGTGCTGAATTCTTGATATAGGGAATTTGCCGCAGACATTATTACCATGGTCTCCTTCACTCAGCCATGGGGATTTGTTCGTAATGGCCGTGACGAACGTGGTCTTCTCGAGTCTTGGCGTATCGGTCTCCCATTCTTTGGTCTTGCTGGTCGGTGGCGATGGTTTCGACAAAACATCATTGCCAATGACGCATTGGCAAAGTTCTTTCTCCCTAAAATGAGCGACAAAAAGGGCATGGGTTACCTCTATGTACAAGCTGATCGGGAAGTATCAAGCAGGGAGAGGAAGATGCAGGAAGAGGGAGGAAGCTTCCTGGAGCGACCTGACTATTTACAGTAGTAAGTGTGCATGGAGCTGTGGTATAGTGACGCTCCTACTGACGTCAAAAAGCTGCGTGGAGGCCCGCGATGCAATTACGGGCCAGAATCTGACTCCGATTCAGAAAAGAGCTCATGTGACTCTCTTGATCCAAGCAGGGGCTGACACTACTGCAACGGCTCTGGGAAGCACGCTACGCTTCCTATTGATGCATCCCAGGGTTCTGGAAAAGGTGAAAGCCGAAGTTGACACGGCGGATGCGGCAGGAAAGCTCAGCAATCCCATAGCGTACGAAGAGTCCCGACAGCTTCTACCATACTTTGGAGCATGTATAAAAGAGTCGTTGCGGCTGAACCCACCAGCACCAAATCTTTTTGCGCGCGTCGTTCCTCCAGATGGCAAGACTATTGATGGAGTGTTTGTGCCAGGACATACAGAAGTCACGTCTGTTTCGTACATAGTCCAAAGGGACCCGGTACTTTACTCTCCAGATCCAGAGGCATATCGCCCAGAACGGTGGGTTGAACAAGACGCGGATAAATTATCAGAAATGGAGGCTAGCCAATTCGTTTTTGGTACTGGACCAAGGGTTTGCCTGGGAAAGGATATTGCCACGATGGAATTATGGAAACTTCTGCCTCAGGTAAAGTTGTCTCTTTTTGTAGTGAATCTAAAATTAACAATGATTTAGATTATTCGCTCTTTTGATATTCAACTGGTTGAGAAGGGATCATATATTGTTGCAGGCGGCGTAGCGTATAATCAAGGATTGATTGCAAGACTGACATTGAGGGCTCAAGCAGGAAAATAACAGATGGGTTGAACAGCCAAGGTCACGGGACTATATTACCGAGAACGCAGGAAATATTCGGGTCAATACCTAGTAGTTTCATGGAGCTGCTCATTGTCATATGCTTTGAGAACCACTACTCCCACTTTCTCTCCCACTCGATTCAGAAGTATCACTTCCGCCCAGTGACTGAGCTTCATCCTCTTCATACATTTTGAATTCTCGCTCGAAATTCAGCACTCCAAGAGTTGCATCACCGGCTTCCCGTCTTTTCGTTTCCACGTCGTCTTCGCCTCTACCGCGATTCCACATCTGAAGCAACTCTCTCTCAACGGCATCAGATCGTGGCACAGCATCAAACTCGAATGGTGCCGGCTTCGCGATCAACAGTGGCGAGAAATCATCCCAATGCACACCAATCTCGGACCCATCGACGCGTCGCTTCTTTATGATATCAAACGCCCAAGCAATACCTCCCATGGCAAGAAAAAGATCCTGTTCGACGATCGGTACGCCTTGACACGTCCGACGACCAAAGCCGAACTGGGAAAATCCATTCAGGCAGGGGTACTGCGTCAGCGGCTCCTTGAATGTAGGATAGGCGGGCTCAAGCCAGCGCGCAGGGTTGAACATCTCTGCATTCGGATACATCTTTTCATCGCGGGTAATGCCCCTGTGGCGGCGGTCAGCATTTCTTCTTCTTCTCGGTCTTAGTGTGACCCCTCGGATGTCCGTAGTTCAGGAGAGGCTGCAGACGGGTGTCGTGGCATTGATGCGCACTACTGCTAGTGCACTCAGCCTCAAACACCACATGGTGTGAGGCAAATGGACTTACCATTCCAAGGCGTGGATTGTCGCTCCTTTGGGAATAAAATATCCGTTCCACACATCATCTGCCTCTGTGGCATGAGGGATTCCGGTAGGGACAGGAGGACGCCAACGAATGACCTCCTTGACCACTGCCCTCAATAGTGGCATCTTTTCGCGGTCTTCCCATGCAGGACAGTTTCCTTGACAGACCTCGTCGATCTCTGCCTGTAGTCTTGACTGCCAACTTGGGTAATGTAGCATAGCAAGTAAAAAGCTTTGGATGGGTGACCCAATGGTCAAAGCCCCAGCAATCGCCATTTGCCCGACAACGTATGATGCCTCAGCTTCACTGCCCCATTTGATCCCGTCTGGTTGGTTTGTCAATTTGTTGATGAATGTGTTCACGAAACTTGGTTGCGCTGTACCGTCGTTGATACGTTCATGAACATAACCGACGTTATTCTTCCAGGCTGCCGCCTCTTCCTCATGCCTGGCAAATTCTTTTTGTTTCCACGGAGACATGAAGAATGGTATGTGTCTAAGGCATGAAATGACATTTGGTAGGGCACCGGCTGGTGAAATGGTTTCAAGTAAGCCAAATGTTGTTTTGCGCAACAAGTCTGCCGGATGAGTACTGCCCCATGAGAGGCGTGAGACTGTACGTGCTGTAAACTGTTCAATGTATTCCCGATACTGCGAGGGATCTCGTGAGAGGAGATATAGAAATCTATCGCGCTCTTTGGTTGGGTAGTCATGAAGGCTGGCATTCGCAGAGGTCGTCATCAATTGCTGAGCAAGTTTTCGTTGCCGTTTCCATGTTTCTGCCGTTGTCGTTGGACGATGAATCTAATTGGATCCAGACGGATATGGCACTTACCATTGCGACCGTGAAGAGCGAGATATTCTCCAGCATATCGGTTATTGGGCAGATTCGGTATCATGGGACGGTCAGAATACGTTGCTGCCCTCTTGGATAGCAGCTCGTGTGCAATCTCTTCTGATGTTATCCAGACATGGATTGACCCAAACATGCTTTGTTGGTAGATCGGCCCATACTCTCGACTCCACTCGTAAAATTTGAGCCAAGTCTTTTCTGCAGGAACATCATGGATTCGACCGACGAGAGGAAGACCTTGATCTTTGTAAGAGGCTTTGTTACGAGAGGTGGAGAGTATTGAAAGTAACAAACCTTTGGGGCCTGGCAGTGGTCGAGCACCAAAAGGTATGGCACTTTTATTGAATCTCCCGAAGAGAAAGACAGCGGAGATGATGAGAATAACCCCCAAACTTATGAGGAGAAAAGACATGGTCGTGTGTTGTCTCTGCAATCAACCCGAGAAGAATCTTTTACACGTATAATGGAATGGATGAATTATGGGTAGGAGAACCAAAGACTAGAAAGAATAACAATAGCGAATATCTATCCGTACTTATTGTCTTGGGAAGCGGATCCTTCAGCCCTATCGTGTCATGAACCCAGAATCAAACATGATGACTTTGCGGAAAGGACCCAGAACGGGTTGACCAATCGATTTGGCTGACCCCTTCACTTGATGCTATGAGACCCAATACATTTACGCTGCGCAGCAACTTGACTCGATGTACCCTGCTCATCGCTGCTTCGCGGCCTGAGACGATCCACTAATAATTCAATCTAAAATCTCCACTTGATGGACGATTTAGATGAGACTTGATGGTTGAACAACACGCAGTGACGTTGACCGTATGTTGCATTGGCAGATGTCCGAGCGCCCAAGTATTATGCTCACATAATCAAACATCAGTCAGTCTTGCGTACCTCAACGGCGTGAACAGAATGAAAGGAGTGTAAGCATTTGCGATCTTTGATCTTCTCTCTACTCGATAGAAGAACATACATTGTACCTATCCGATCGGAAGTAGCTGTTAAATGGATCAAAAGAGGATCTGCATCAGCCGTCAAGCCGTCAAGCCACGCCATACCTCCGGAGTTGCTTTTCTTGCTCGACTCTGCGAGAGTTCAATGATATTATGGCCTCGTTGACTTGTATGCCTACCTACCTAGTACGCAAGGGTAAACTCGAAGTCGAGTTTTCATATTGAGTATAAGAGATCCACTACAGCGCATGGACTATTGTGTCTCTAGTTTGAGAGCCATCCGAGCTTCTGAAACATGAACATGATATGAACTCAACCAGAAAAAGGGTCCCCATCGGAGGACCGGTTGGTCGGACGAAGCATAGACCATAATCAGTACCGGATATGATGGAATTGTCTTCTACTTTTTCAAGTTCTTACTGGCACTCGGATCGCAGGGCAATTATTTGCTTAGGTCGTTTCACCACGGTGCCCACAGTGAGCTTGACTTTTGATCTGAGATTCTAGGCGGGACTGCCAACGACGAACGATGTCTGACCTTTCTAGCTAGTCGAGAAAATCACTCCAGTCACTGCATTAATTATCCCCATATTCCTCAACACGGGGGTCCAAGTATTAGCTGGGCGCCTGCAACGCCAGACCCTGCTTACGAGTGCGACTTAGCCAAATTTTCGGCATAGTCTAGTGGCTGCGATACATTGGTTGCAGCTCATGTCTCAGGCACTCACGAACACGTATGTTGCTCATACTGATTATGGATGAGTGAGTCTTTGTCGCCCTAGTCGGAACGCACAGCAGAACCAGTTCTGATTTCAGCGACTCGTGCTCATTGGACGTCTGGACAGCACATTTACTCGTAGAGAATCTGACGAAATTGTATTCTCTCAATATTGTGTTATTTTGTGTCTATAGACGTTCTGATTTAGGGTATCTTTTTTCTTTTCATATTCAAGTCCATTCTGGACTATGGAGCCAAATGAGGATCAAAATTACATTCTGCAGATTGTGTTAGTTACTCTGTCATGATCGTCATTGCAGTATTATACTAACCTCTCGACAGGCGACAAACCAAGCAGACGCATGGCATTGTTCAATGTGATACGGGCACAGTCATAGAGTGCCATACGGGCCTTCATCAACTCAGGCTCGCTACCAACAATACGAAGGTGGTCGTAACTGGCACTCAGCGCGTGCGTCATCTTGAATAGATAGGTCATAACGGTAGTGGGCTCCAGAGTTCGGAGCGTGTTGGAAACAACGTCAGGCCATTGCGACAGTACTCTGACAAGGTCGACGGCGTGAGACTCAGTCAGCAGCGAGAGGTCCGCAGTTGCGAGCTCTTCGTCTGTGAGGGACACACGGCGAGTAATGGAGCACAGTCGAGCATGGGCGTACTGGAGGTACGGGCCAGTGTCTCCTTCAAACGAAGTCATGGCGTTCATGTTGAACTCGTAGTTGTTGATTCTATAACAGTTAGCGAATGAATAAGAATTAGAGTGTGGTCTACTTACCGCTTGCCTGTCATGTCTTGAACCATGACACTGCTGATACCCAAAGTATCGGCTACAGCTTCGGGGTTCTCGACTTGGTTGTACTTGTCCTCATTCTTGCGCATGACGGTGTGCATGTGCTCACCAACGTCGCGAAGGATATCATTCAAGAACTTGACAGTTCCCTTGCGTGTGCTCATACCAAGAACCATGCCAAAGTTAATGTGCTGTACCTTGGCAGCAATGTCCTTGTAACCCATGAGCTCCACCACCTTGAAGAATTGCTTGCAGTGCAAATCCTGCTGCGAGGCAATGACGTAGATCATTTGGTCAAAGTTGTACTTTTCGTGGCGGTTCAGGAGCTCGCTAATGTCGCGGGTGAGGTACAAAGCGGTGCCGTCTCTCTTTCGCAGGATGGCCTTGCCCAGGTTCTTGCCGGCCTTGCCCTGGATGTGCTTGGAGAAATCGATCAGGAGAGCACCACCGTCTTCCTCGGTCAAACCCATATCAGCCATCTTCTTGGCAGCTGCCTGCATATCCGCTTCAGGGACCTGGCTCTCTCCAGAGTACTCGTCGAAGCGGATGTTGAGTCGTGCGTAGGTCTGCTTGTACTTCTCAATCGAAAGGTCACGGAACCGCTTCCACAGAGCCAAGGCCTCGGGCTCGCCATCGCTCATTTGCTTGAAGTAACGACGAGCTTGCTCATCAGTACCTTCGTCGAGGATTGCTTGAGCCTCTGCTTCCTTGCCCTCGCTCTTGAGCTTGTCGGCCTGTTCCTTCTCTGCAGCGGTATCTTGGTTGATCCTGACATAAACATTGAACAGGTGGTTGATCGGGTCCTTGAGAAGCTCCTCCTCGCTACCGTACTTTTTGAATCCCAATGCCAGCACACCGTACTGCTTGCCCCAATCGCCCAAGTAGTTGATGCGAACCACGTCCCAGCCGGCGGCCTCGTAGAGGTTGGCAAGGAAACCACCAATAATTGTGCTTCGCAAGTGACCGGCGTGGAAGGGTTTGGCAATATTAGGCGAAGAAAACTCAATGACGATGCGCTTCTTGCCCTTGGAAGGGTCGTTCGGGTCCTTGAGACCAGGAATCTTGTTGGAGCCGTATTGTGTCTTATTGGCCCGGATCAAAGGGATGACGGTGCGAGCGAGGGGGCCAGCCTTGAAGAAGAATGGCATAAAGGTGCCATTCTGGACTGGCTTGTGAACGAGAGGCGACTCGGGCCACTATGGGCACACACAATGTCAACATCCGGCAAGACACTTCGAAAGCACAAAACGAGGGGAATATCAACCAACCTGCTCGAGCCACTGCTTGCCCAACTCTTCAGGCTTGCCCTTTACGCGCAGCGCCGGGATGGCCAGCACCAAGTCGCCCTTGTCCAAGGACATTGTCCATTGTACAGCATTGTAGATGATCTTTGTGTCGACACCGGTAATCTTGTGCAGGATCGACGTGATGTGAGAGCGGTAAATGTCGACAGGGTTGATCTCGGGATAGCAATTTGGGTACTTGTCCAACGGAGGCAGACTCAAGTCCTTGAGCTGCTGGGTGACATTGTCGACCGAAGAGGCGTCGGTGGCCATATTTGCGACTGCACCCGTATGAGAATTTTGAAAAGAGATGTTCCGGCTTGTTCTAGTAGAAGTGGAAAATGCAGATGAAGCCGAACGCAAATTCAGGTCCCGGCGCCGATGCTGTTTGTGAGGATACTGATATTGGCGATGGTGGGGTACCGGTCGAGAAAGAAAATGTTGGCGGGGTAAAAATTGTAGGTGGGACGACTGGGCCTGGCCACGAGCCCGGGGCGGCGCTGGGCAATGGACGGCCGACGCGATGTCAAGCGCGCAAGGGAAAGATTTGATAGATGTCGCCCAAAAGTTGGCTGCTCTAGCAAGCCGCACTGCACGAAGTGGAGGATGCGATATTTGTTGAGTTACTGGTATCTTCATGGGACTAGATATTCCAAGGACCTATGCCGGTCCAGCTCTTCCTTTTGTTGCTTGTGCAATGTGACTCATCTGCTCCTTGGGGTTCAGGAACGCGTTCACAGTCGCCCATACGCTCGACTTTCCAGTGTTAGCAGCGACTTCGAGACCCCAACCGGCTGGAGGAGTCATTGCGGTCCGGTGTTTCTCCGGCAGCCTCAGTCTCGTTTCCAGGGTCAAAATCCATGCTGAGTGAAGATGATCAATTATTCGCCATGCCAACATGAACAAGAAACTGCGCACCTTCTTGACTCATATCGACCAGGCTACTTACATTATCTGTACATCTGTCATCCTTTTGCTGCTGTCTATTTACGTTTGACGTTGGTTAAGGTAGTTTGTTCCTGGCTGGTATTGCACTAGAAGGGCTGCTCTTGTGTTAGCGACGGAGCACCGTGGCGACCTGTTGAAAAATCACATTTCAATTATACTGACAAGGTATACACAGCCGTAGCCTTGAAAAATAATAGGAAGAATGAAATGCCATTTTACAAATATGATAATAATTT